AGAAGGAGAGTTATGATGATTGAGGCACATGCGATGCCAGAAGAAGCTCCATGATTGAAACTGCACATGGATTGTTGGGAACTTTAGGAAAAATCCAACAGAGAATAAAGCCATGGAAGCACTAATTAATTTTTTTTTCAGTCGACTAAATGGGTTTCATGGTGGCAATGCATTATCCTTAATTTAATCCCATCACAGCCAACAATTTGTCCACTTCTACCTACTATATTATCCTCCATTTGTTTAATAAAACAATGGTCTAATAAAACAATTTTTTTTAACTCGAACTCGAGTTTTGGTAGCGCATACAACAAATTTGTTGTTTTAATTAAAATTAATATTTTATTAAAATGACAAATACGTTTTTAGGTTCCCAATCACACCCTAATCAAATATTAGTGGCAACTCCTCAAACCACGTTTTATCATTAACCAATCATCAAAAATTATTTCAAAACAAGACCCCCTTTTTTCCCTTCTGAAAAACCATTTCGACAATAACATATTATAAAAGATAAAATTTAATTAATTTCATTTTAAAATTTCATAACATAGTAGATAGTTCACTAACAATATGTAATTCACTTAGAAACTTGTGGGACTCAATTTGATATCAATTTGACATATAAAATTATCATTGCTATATTATTTTCTACATATATGTAATTTGTAAACAATTTATTTCTGAAATATAAAAATGTTCTTCTTTTTAAGTTAAAGAAATTCAAATTTAAAATGATTATTCAGAGCTTTGAATTAAAGTATTAATTTTTCCAAAAATACTTAATTTTAAAATTTAAAATCTAAATCCAAATTTAATATTCAAAAAGCTATTTTAGGTTAATAAAATAATTTTATGAGAAATTATGTTTAATTGTGACTTGTGGATAAAATCAAGAAAAGTGAAAAATAAAAACCACCTCCCCCCAATATTCCTGAGAAAATTGTTAGTTTTTCACTTAAACAAGGCTAGAGGTAAGGGAAATTTCAGCACATTATTAAACACATCAAATAAAGAATCTATACATTTAGATTTTGGGATTGGTGGAAAAGTTTACAATTTCAATGGGCATATGGAGAACATTAATACTATAGTGGGCCACTTTTCAGCCACTAAGTTTTGTTCAAGTTTTATTAAAAGATAAAGTCTTTCAAACTTTTAGGACCTTTTCAATAATTATATTTTATTAAAATTGATATTTTAAGTCAATCATCAACCAATAAAAGTTGATATTTTAGCGTGATTTGTTAAACGGCTTATAGGGTTTGTTACACATAGATAATTGGTGATTGTATTTAATTCGATATATTTTTATTAGGCAGAGTTTGTATAAGAGAGAGTATTATTTAAGTTACGGTCTTAACATTAAGGTTCCAAAAAGAAGCAATCTAATGGATACTTTGGGTACCATATGGGATTTAAGGCCAATTTTCATGCTAAAAGTGCCTAATCCTTGACAAATATAACAATATTTGTCTGTAAATAAGGGCAAGAACCTAATTTATTAAATTTTAGGTTCCCTACAATTTGGTGTAAGAAATGTTGTTCTCTTAGAGATTTTAAAATTCGTCTTGGTATAAGAGTTGTTATTATTAGAATTTTGATGCTATAAGATTCAAAAGGATAATAAAGGTTAATTAGTAAGTAATAAACTACCCCAAATGCAACCCAAAGGGAGAAAAGAAAAGAAAAGAAAAGAATACTATGTGTTATAGACTAATATATTCACTTCCACCGAGGGATGAATAAAATAAAAATAATTAATTAGTATTATTTTTAGTTAAAAAGGATAAAAAATTACATCATAGATCATTCTTATCATAAATAACAAGAGTCAAACCACTAAGAATAGTCAATGCCATCTTATTATGTAAGTATACTGTATAAGTTTATTGCTTGACTTTAGTAATAAAAAGATGTTATATTTTTTTAGAGAATTTGAATTTGAGTAGTTGTATATATAAAGTGTGTGCACGTTGTTAATGACTAATAAAAAATTTAAATAAATAATATTTTATAATTACGACAGATTTAATATCAAATTAAATTTCTTCTATTTAAAAATCTTGAATTGATTTTAACTCTATCCGAAAGAATTTGATTGTTTACATTAAAAAAAAAAATCAGTCAAATTTCTTTAAAACTAAGTCCATTTTTTTAAATTTCTCTAAGATCTCAAACATCAATGGAACATTTTTTTCAATCAATTTGAAGTTGCAAAAACAAAATTTTAAAAGAAATCAAATGAATGTAAAACCATTGCAACCTTTAAAAGTTCGTCAATGGCAGCCACTTTGAAGTAAAAAAAAACACTTTTTTTCCAACCACGAACCACTAAAAATACTTGTTTTTCATCCAACGAAACTCACTCATTAATTTGCTTTCAGCATCATAAAGAATTATACTTCATCAAACGGCGGCGGCTTTTCTTTTGTAAATCACCAAAGTCAACATTCATATTGAATTTATTACAAGTGAAATATATTTTTTAATGTAAATAGAAACCGTTATTTTTATTAAAAAAATATATAATATTCAACGTTACAATGAATCTATATAATTAGAATATATTCTTACAATTATTAACACAAAAAATTACTCACTTGATATTATACAAGAACAATACAAAGAAAAGGTTAACAATTCATCTTAAAAAACTCGAACAAAATATAAATACGAACAGATCTAGCTACATTGACAAATGGACCACAACATGAGATTAAACTATTGAACTTTCAATTTTTTTCAATTATAGTACTAAATTTTAATTTTCGCTTTAATTATATCATTGGATTGTTAAATACTTAAATTGCTAACGACAAGGTGACGTAACTAACGATTTCTAACATGTCTGTCACACAAAAACAATCCAATAGTATCGTTATTCACATCGGAAACCGCTAGCCACGTCATCATGTCTTTAGCAATTTAAGCGAACATCAAAGTTTAGTGCTATAATTGATAAAATTAAAAGTTTAATAGTATAAACAGTAAAACTCCTAATGTTTAATGGTATATGTTATAGTTTACCCTACAATCAAATATAAATCCAGAAGTTGCCGGAGAATTATGGTCGGCAATCGACTATAGTAACAAGGAGGGTAGGCGTGGGCGTCAATCCTATATTTATTGCAATCATTTTGACTAGATTAGATGCTCCCTAGTCCCTACAGCCAAATCTCAAAATAATTAATTTAGAGTGAACTATTGAAATGGTCACTTTTATTTTATAAGTGTTCATTTTTTACTTATTAAATTTAAAAAAGTAACATTTTGATTACTTATGTTATTCATTTATATATTTTTTATCACTTACATTGTTGATTTATAATATTTTGGTCACTATAGCATTAAAAGTCGTTAGTTCAATGAAGTGACACATTAGTAAAAGATATTAAATTTTAATTTGATTCATGAATTTTAGATGAAATATTAATTTGACCCTTAAATTTTTTTATAGAATATTAATTTAACTTATGAATCCGATGGAAGTCTTACATCTCTAGTTGTCACTCACCATCATTGTTTGTGACTGTCGACTACCACCGCCATTGCCAATGATCATTTTGTTCCGTACATTTTTAATTTTCTTTAAATTTGTCCCTATTGTTCAAACAAAAATTGCTACTAAATTAAAACCGACAGCTTACATCGGCTCCGAAAATATCACAGTTAAAAAAAGAAAGAAATGAAAAAGTTATATTTATTAATAAATACCAAAATATTCAAAAAAAAAAGTTTCAAACTTTCTGAATATGTTTCATTTTGGTCCATGCAATTTTAATTTTCTTTCAAAATTTTAATATACTTATAGTTCAAATACCAACATAATTTAATTTCATTCTTTATACTCACTGTCTCACTCAAATAAGCTAGTTTTTTAACATTTTCATTTTAGTCATTTTACTTTTATTTTCTTTTATTTTAATCTCAAGATTGCAGGAAAAGGAACAGAGTCATCCTTAACTACCAATGACTTTATTCACTTTACCGTGTACTTATAAATTTTCCTAATTAACCTTAAGAATATCACATTTCTCAATAAAATTTTTCTAGTTAATTCATTGTTGTTTGAACTTTTTCTTTATTGACTCTTGCTATTCCTTATTTTTCATCTATTTTTAGATTATATTTTTCTTTTTCTTTTACTTTCTAAATTTTAATAACTCTATATTTACGGCACGTTTTTTTTTGTGTTTGGACACATTTTCGATCTTTTTTATCTGTCGTTTGTTTTTTTTTAGTGTTGAATTTGACATCGCATCGATTGATAAAGATGAGCTTATTTATTATCTTGTTTATATGCCCTATTTTGGACCCTCGAATGAATGTGGATATGCGATTTGTATTCGAAGATAGTTTTCTCATGACACTCGACTCTGATCTTTCAATTGATTGATCCATTTTGTAATTTGTTTACCGATGCAGTTAGATCTATTCACATCTTTATTTTGTTCAAGTTTTTTTTTATAAGTTCTTAACATTTTCCTTGTATGATATTTATATAATCTAGAGTAACTAGTTTCGTATTAATGATTATAAAAAATATCATAATTATGTGTTTAGTTTACACTTATAAAATGTCATGGTAATTTAAGATTTTTTTAATAAAACAAACAACTTTTTTTACATAAAAAAAAGAGTGTTGTCTCCTTAAAAAACCTCATATTCAAGCAGTTAATTGATTGTATATGAGTTGTTAATGATTAAAAATTAAAAATATTATTTTATTTAATAAATAGAATTCACTTATTGTGTTGGATATTTAAAGTAAATTAATTATCATTAATTAAAAAGATTTGATAGTTAAGAAATTGAGTTTAAAATAAAATAGATTCAAAATAAAAAGATAAACCCATCAAGGCATCAATTTATCAACGGTCGGGGATTTTAAACTCCATTTCTTAAAAGGAAAAGAGCCGTTACAGCCAACGGCTATTTTTGTACTTTTAATTTCGAAACTGCCACTCAAAACCCTTCCATTTTCATTTTCATCCAAGAACAATAATTTCTTTCTTTTCGAAATTTAATTTCTTTCTTCTTATTCTTCTTCATCTTCTTGACGAACTGAAAAAAACACAGTAAACCCAGAAAACAACAATGGCTCCAACGCCATCTTCTGCTTCCAAACAAACCCAGACCCAAATCAGAACACCTCAATCCAAGAACCGATTGAATTTCAATTCGACGAGAAACAACAATAATCCGGCGATTGAACAACACAACCCACCGGGGGAACACCCGGTGGAAGTCATCGGAAGAATACGAAACCACCCAGGCGAGCAAAAAGACAAAAACCCGATCTCATATCTCCACATAAACCCCGATAACAAGACTCTCCGTGTCCGGGCCGATATCGGGTACCGGGATTTTACCCTGGATGGGATTTCTTCTTCAGAGGAAGAGGATCTTGATACTTTTTACAAGAAGTTTGTTCAGTCGAGGATAAATGGGGTGAAAACTGGAGCTAAGTGTACGATCATGATGTATGGGCCTACTGGAGCAGGGAAAAGTCACACGATGTTTGGGTGTTCGAAGCAGCCTGGGATTGTTTATAGATCGTTGAAGGATATATTGGGAGATCTTGGGGAAGATGACAGTGGAGGGGAAAGATTGGGAATTGGGACTTTTGTTCAAGTTACTGTTTTGGAGATTTATAATGAGGAAATTTATGATCTTTTGTCCAGTAATGGTGCAGGTGGTTTTGGAATTGGATGGCCTAAAGGAAATGGATCTAAGGTAAGTTTCATTTTGAAGTCTCTTCTTGATGACTTGAGTTTATGTGTTTTCAATTTGTGGCTTGTTATTGGTGATTTGATGCACATTTTGCAGTTCAAATATAGGATTTGATTGTACCGGTGTCTTGGTCTTTCGATGTCCCTATGTATCGGTATCTTACTCGCATTGCGTGCTCTTGTCCATGTACATTTTGCAGGTGAAACTAGAAGTAATGGGGAAGAAAGCAAAGAATGCTGCTTTCATATCAGGAAGTGAAGCTGGAAAGATTTCAAAAGAGATTCAGAAAGTAGAGAAGAGAAGAATTGTCAAAAGCACTCTCTGCAATGAGAGAAGCTCTAGAAGTCACTGCATGGTATATCAATTTTTCTACATCTTTTTTATTTGATGATCAAAATAAAAATTTTAACATGTTGTTTCAATCTTCACAGATAATTCTTGATGTTCCAACTGTTGGAGGAAGGCTTATGCTTGTGGACATGGCAGGTTCTGAAAATATTGATCAAGCAGGTCAAGTCGGATTCGAGGCAAAAATGCAGGTAAAATATAATTTGAGTGTGTGACATTAAACTAGTTCAAATAGTTGAACTTGACGTTTCGAATCGTGACTTACTGTGGGTTTACTGAAAAATTGCAGACTGCAAAGATAAACCAGGGAAACATAGCACTGAAAAGAGTGGTTGAATCCATTGCTAATGGAGACTCTCATGTGCCTTTCAGAGATAGTAAGTTGACAATGTTGCTCCAGGTAAAGTTACATTCCCATTGCTGTCATTCATGGTCCTTTTCGTGTCCGACACTTTCGAGTCAGTAACATGGGTTCGCCAAGTTTTTTTTTCTCCCCAGGATTCATTTGAGGATGATCAGTCAAAGATTTTGATGATACTTTGTGCAAGTCCAGATCCTAAAGAGATACATAAGACAATTTGCACCCTTGAATATGGAGCAAAAGCAAAGTGTATTGTAAGGGGTCCTCATACACCATTGAATGACAAAAATGAAGATTCTTCATCAGCTGTTAATTTAGGCTCTAGGCTTGCTGCAATGGACCAGTTCATAAATAAACTACAAATGGAGAGCAAGCAGAGGGAAAGAGAGAAAGACGAGGCGCGTAAAGCACTCCAAAAAAAAGAAGAAGAAGTGGCGGCACTACGATCCCTTCTGGAAGTGAAGGGTTCGTGTTTAGGTTCGGGTGTGACCGAAGATGAAATCAACATGAAGGTAAATGAACGAACACAGATGTTAAAACTCGAGTTGGAGAAAAAACTAGACGAATGCAAACGAATGGCTGAGGAATTCGTTGAGATGGAAAGAAGAAGGATGGAGGAAAGAATCCTGCAACAGCAAGAAGAAGTCGAGATGCTAAGAAAGCGGTTGCAAGAAATCGAATTCGAGTTACGCAGTTCAAAGGATGTTAATGAGGAGAGTGAATCATCAAATGAGTTGGATGGAAGTAGCTTTGCCAAAAGGCTGGTTGGGATTTATGGTGATGAGGTTCCAGGGATGGTAATGTCGATGGAGCTTGACATGAATGATCCCGAACCATATGTTCATGCTGCAAATCAATCCGAAACCGATTTTCCCCCACAGTTTGGCATAAAAGCAGGCCTCACAACTGTATATGAAGAAGAAGAAACAGAAGAAGAGGATGAAGAAGTGGAGAAGGTGATCATAGAGGAAAAGAGGATATGCTCGAACGAGAAAACTTTCGAATCGGCGACTCCTACACAGCCGGATTCTGATACTTCAAGACTATTAAGGATCCAAAACATCTTCACCCTTTGTGGGAACCAAAGAGAGCTTTCGCAACAAACCAGAACACCTGCAAAATCATCAGCCATTACTGAAACCGTTGAACCACATTGGCCCTTTGTTATGGTAGCTGATGATTCTGTTGTGAGAAGCTTGAACAAGGAAAACCAAATCCCTGATGAATGCACTGATGGTCAGGTTGATGTCTATGTGAAATGGGAATCATCCAAGGAAAATTCTGGAAAGTTCATCACAACACTCAAGGTTGCAAATGATGCAACTCTTGCGGATCTTCGGAAGTTGATCGATATCTATCTTGATGTAGATAATCAAGCTTTCTCTTTTCTTGTGCTTGGGGTAAGTTATTGTTAGAACTCAATTCATAATACCGTTTTTGAACTTAGAAAGAACTAGCTTATGCTTTGGCAACGTGCAGGATCCGACTGGGGCGACGGTGCCAAAAGAGAATGAAGCCATTTTTAAAGCCAGTAAACTGCCAATATGCAACAATGGTTACCTGGCTTGCTTAAGGCCAGCAAAGGGTCTGCAGATAACAAATCATCTGCCATTGAGTCCACTGCAATTGACTCCATTACCATTGACTCCATTACCATTGACTCCACTGGAAAACAAGCTTCCACTTGCCGCAAGCACTCGCTTGTTGAACCAAGGTGACGACTTATCACCTAAGTTATCGCCTCATCTCAGTACCACTCCGTTTATCAATGCTCGAAGAAGACGATAAGATCGATATTTGCTTGATTTTGTGCACTTGCAGAAGGAATCGAATGTTGAATCTCATGAAGCGTGTATGATAACAATATGTATATCATGAAGTGTGTCTTCTTTTGGATATGGATTTAAACTCAATTTTCATTGTCTTATTGTTTAAAGAAGCCATTGGCTTATTTTGAACTCTCTTTTATCCAATTGTATTCAACTTTGATTGTCGTTCGAATGTGCATATAAAAAATTAATTTTGATTCAGTTATTCACATTTAAATAAATACATCTATTTATTTTCATATTTGATAAAGATAAATTATTTATCTATAAAATATGTAAATGTCTAAATTGTTAAGTTGATAATAGTATAAGTGGTTTATGAAAATTGAACTAAATTAAAAATTTATTTATAAAACTACACAAAATAGAAGTTACAAAATTCTTATATAATTTTAAGATTTAATTGTTTTTATTTGCAAAATCATTCAAGACATTATTTGAGTAACAAAATATAACTAAATGAGCACTTTCATTGAAAGGGAGTCAAAATAAGGATAATTAACACTGTTTAAAGTCATTAATTATTTCACGGTTTATAAGCCAAGGGCCATATAGTGGAAATTCAAACATACGAGTCAACTAAAAGCCATCTCTCCTCTACTCATTGAACTTACTCCATCATCTAGCCTTCAGATCATCCAAACCGAAATTCGCCTGCATAAACAGATTATAATTCGGTCAGTCGATTTTCACCGCACAAAATTGTTACAATAACAAAATATACGATTACATTCTACATAATTATATCCTTTCCGAGTTGTCAAGTGTGTGATCGTTAGAATTGTTTAAGTTATTATTTGTGACTACGAAACGTAAGTTTCTCCCTCCCACCCTTCCATGGTCTCAAACACTTTAATCAACAGTATATGAAATCATTCCCGAGATGAAAGTACCACTGATTGAAAAATAAACAGACGGTTGCACAGAATGGTGGCATAGCAAAAATTTATCTCGGAGGACAGTTCTTACCAGAAATTTGTGGTTCTCCTCAAGAAATTGAGGGAAAGTCGAACAAAACTTCTCCATGTCAGCGTTAACATCTCCTGAACCAGCTATCACTTCCATGAACTTCTTCCTATCCGGAGCCAGCTTCATTGCAATCTGTAATCCAAAATTCACCGAGTGATGTTGGACAAGTGACTTGATAATCAAATATCCAGAAAATCCCAATACTCATTCATTAAAGCCTAATTCAAACACTAAGTACAGGTTACTATCAGGAAAGAGATATATCAATAAGAAAAAAAACTTAATCAAGCGAGAACAAAATATTAACCGTGAAACTGGAACTAGCAATCCAGCCATGAAACTTCTTCAGGGTTTTGCCATAGGAGTTGGTGCAACATTCTGTCATAGTCCAATCTGGATGTGAAAGCAAGTTGCGGAACAGTTCTACGAGGAAATCCATAGCTCTGAAAATCATCAAAATTGTAAAATTACAAATCGCTAAACTGAAGGGAACATATGAAAGAGATTTCTGCAATTGCCAGGTAATGTTATGTATGTCAACCAAAGAAGACCATTGGTACAGCTAGATGAACCTGTTGCGGTTTTACACTCAACCTCTTCTTTCACCATATTGTACAAGTATTTGTATTTAGTGGGATCAGATTCATATTTCTTCTCCAACCTCTGAAAACAAAATCAACCAAAATACGAGTTATAAAGTAACACTTTCTAGGAAACTAACGTTTGTTTCATTAGACAATCGTGCATGGTGTTAAAAATCCTTCGAGATTAAAGGACAGAAGGTTAAACAGCTACGATGACCACCTAGATATCCATAGCCATCAGTTTTAAGAAATTAACAAAAGGCATGCGCTGGGACACAGAAAAATAAACACACGTCATTGGTAGCATACTAGAAAAGTTACTCAAGATAAATATCTTACCGATATGTTACCACTGACATCACTCTTTACAAGAGCCATAGCAGATCCAAACTTATCTGTAAAATACAAAATGGAGAGTTTAAGTTTTCCCTGTAAATGAAGTATCAGCATTGTATCCGTCAAGCAAGAAAGCCGGCAATGTGCTGCATTTCATAGGCCTTCTCCGAAGACATCAGCCTTTCATTATCCATCACACAGATGCACAAACTGATCAGATCTGGTTTGAAATGCAATCTTAGACAATCCTACAAAAATATTGTTAGCTAAAACCATCAAGCATTTTGTCTATTATCATCAAAGAGTATTTTCATATCTAATCTATCATACAATCATAATCATTTCAATCTTACTATAGTTTCCAAATCTAAAAAAATTGCAGCCATAAAGTAAACTTCTCCACAAACAGAAATGAAGAAAGATTATTAACTCAAATTAGATGCTAAAAGTTAACTAATCTAATCCAACAAGCTTAACATAAGAAAATTAAACCATAATCAGAAATCCTTGAAGATTACCAAAGGCATAAACAAAACAAACCTATAACTGGCAAAATCATCTTGCAGACTTCCAAAAAGGGCTTAGCAAGCATTTCCCCTTCTGGAGATTTGATATGCTTCATTCCTTCCAGTGATGGAGTGAAAACTGATCCTTCCATTGCTCAAAGAAACCTTTCAACTTACTTTTTCTTTTTCCTTCACTGCAAAAATCAAATTGAAATCCACAAGATTTAACTTAGCTACAATAAGATCCAATAAATAAATAAAGCCAGCCACTTTGATATCTCGAAATCACTAAAGTTCTAACCTTTTTACTCTATAATCAAAAACCCAATTCAACAATCATATAAAAGTGTGAATTTTTATCAGATCTATATAAAAAAAAATAAAGCGAGATCAATACATGGAACTTCACTGCTCTTAAAACTGAAAAATCAAGAGAAAAATGTAGAATTCAGAGGAATTAAACAAGAAATAAAGGATTTAAAATATGGGTATAATATTCTGATTCGATACAGAAAAAGAACAAAAAAGGAACCTGGAGATTTTACTTGGAGAATTGGATTCAGTTGAAATGTTGAAGACGAAAGAGACACTGAATTGAAGTAAAAGCAGAAACAACTGGGCTCTGGTCGGTTGCACGTCTACACGTTTGTGGCTTTTTTTATTTGGAAGAAGCAATTGGGTCCCAAAAGTAAGATCTCGATGGACCATGAACAAGTATTTGGGTCGGTTCGGGTACCCGAATACTAATTATATAAGGATAATCATGGGCTAAATTTGGATGGGTTTGGCTTGAGTTTCAATCTGAATTATATCAATTTTAATAAAATATAATAATGAAAAAATATATTCTAAAATAAATACTCTAATTTAATTCTTAATTTAAATTATAATAAAAATAATTGAATTTTATTTAAATAATAATTAATTAAATTTTAAAATTGTCTTTTATAAATTCATGAATTACAAATCTAATATATCAATGAACATTAATTTATTTTAAAAAAAATTAATTAATTTATTGATATGTGACTCTATATCACTTAAATAAAATTAAAGATTCAAATTTCAATGCTATAAATAAGAAAAAATAAATTAAAAAGATGAAAATCATAATTAATCTTTATAATATCAGATGAGTTAATTAATAAAATAGATACTGATTGTTATAAAAAATTAAAACTTAATATTTAAATAAAAAATAAAAATATAATATTAATAACATAATAAATTTTATAATATCTTATTCATTTTAATTAATTAGTAAAATTGATACTCATTATTATTAGAAAAAAGGCCCAAATGCAAGCAAGTAGATACACGGCATATCCGGAACTTGATGAGGCCAAATCCACTAAGATCATCATCACCCAAATTAGAAAAAGGAAACCCCTAGATCCGACGCTTATAAACACCCTATAAAACCCAACATACGGTGGAATCTGTCGTTTGCACATTCATTGATTTCCTCTCTGCCTCTCCAGCTCCAACACTTTCACACACGCACTGAAAAAATGGTGACTTGTTTTATCTTTTAATGGATGATACCATTCATGATTCTCGTTTATGTTTATGGGTTTTAAGTGATTTTTTTCTTATTATTTTTTAGCCTTTCAAGAGGTACGTTGAGATCGGAAGAGTGGCTCTCGTTAACTACGGCAAAGACTACGGCAAGTTGGTTGTCATCGTCGATGTAGTTGACCAGAACAGAGTACGTCCTTTTTTCAGATTTAATACAGTATTATCGTTTTCATGTGTTTATTTTATCATTTTTCGTAGCTGTTTAGTAGATTTTACAGTAATGAATTATGTGATGGGTTCAGCGTAGAGTTGTATGATTAAGGGGAAAAAGATGAAATATAATGTTGTATAGTTTTGAGGGTTTGTAATGGATTTTGCATTTTAGGGTATTTTAATTGGATTTAATTTGGTTGTCAGGCTGGAATTGTGAACTTATAGTGGAATTTAGTTGTCTTGATTCTAAAGAGCTTGACTAAAATTTGTATTTCTGTATTTTTCTTGTTGGTTGTAATCTAGTTATGTTAAGAAATAGTATTTTAGTGATTAAGATTTTTATAGTTGTATAACCTAATGTTTCTCGGGTTTGAGAGAATACCGGATATCTGTATGTGTTTGACAGTGTTCTAAGTTTTATTGTGTATTGTGAGTCGGTTGACTTAGAACTTCGTACTTGTGTGTGCATTTTTTATGGATTAGGAGAGCATTTCATTTAATGTGTGTATTTTTCTCTGCATTTGTTAATCTGCAACTTGTGTTACCACTTGATTGTAGTGTATATGCATACTATTTGAGAACAGAATTGTAGTTTTAGTGTCCATAAGGATTGGATCATGAGCCTAGTTAAAGTTAGGTGATGATTGCATGATTATTAAAAGCTTATTTTAGCTTATATTGGTAAATGGTAACGCAGGCTCTTGTTGATGCCCCAGATATGGTCAGAGGCCAAATGAACTTCAAGAGACTTACATTGACGGATATCATCATTGACATCCCCCGAGTTCCTAAGAAGAAGACTTTGATTGAAGCTATGGAGAAGGCTGGTAAGGATGATAATTTTCACTTTATTATCATATCATTGTTTCTCAAAGTAACGCTTCCTTTGTATTTTGCTTTATGTTATTGTCACAGATGTTAAGAACAAGTGGGAGAATAGCTCATGGGGTAGAAAGCTGATTGTCCAGAAGAGAAGGGCATCACTCAACGACTTTGATAGGTTTAAGCTTATGTTAGCTAAGATCAAGGTTAGTTTATTGAATTACCGTTTGTTATGCCTAATTTATTATGCCAAATATCTGACAGCTTTCTTGAAACTTTGACCCGAGCAGAAGGCTGGAGTTGTCAGGCAAGAGCTTGCTAAGCTTAAAAAGGAGAATGCATCTTGAAGTGAAGCTAGGTTATTGGATTTTTGCTAGTTTTATCATCCATCTCCCGCGAGTTCTTTTGGGATTGGTTTTCGTTTTTATATTAAAAAGTTGATTTTAAGTTGAGGACACCTTGTTTGCCATATGACAGGTTATGTAGCGAGTTTATTGCTTTATATCTTCCTTGTCTAATTTGATTGCATGCTGCAATTTTTCCTTTGAATGTTCTGGTATCTGTATTTGCTACATGAGGGTCTTTGCATCAAAATCATAAAGCATATTCTCTCATTTACAGTAAACAATGGCAGAATTCCACGAGCTGAACAGCTAGAGAACCATTAACACCGACACATCTGATTTGATACAAGGTTTGCTTGTAGCTGAGCTATAATCATTTCTTCCCATTTCCCAACCTTTTTAACAGCCGCTTAAACCCTTTGGATGACTCCTTTTACTTAGTCTTGTCTGACACAATGATAAAACACATAATATTTGACTATAGACTATAGTCATTATTTTTCATTCCATTTTATGATCGTAAGGTAGTATCACGTATGATTACATTATTACTTATTAGATAATATTAATTTATTTTAAATATGACATATAAATATCAGTTGATCAAATTTTTTATTTTTTGTATTTTGATAATTTATTAGGTCATAGGTTTTAGCCCTGCTATGAGTACTCTCATTTTTTTCCCTGAAATCCTCTTTCTCCTCTCCTCAATGTAATATTAGGATTTGTCAATATATATTTATATACATATATTTATATATTGAATAATAATAATAATAATATAACATGATTAAGATGACGCACCAACTGAATGATTAAAATAAAAATATTTCTTAATAATAATGACTAAATGATTTTTTCAACGATGAACAAAGTCTATTCATCCCAAAATTATAAATTAAGAAATCTTATAATATCATTTTTCATAGTCTTTAAATATAAATGAACATTTTTTTAATTATGGTCGAAATTAACTATATGTAATTAAATGGTGCTTGCTTGGATCCTAGTTTTGCCAATTTTTCTGCATGCACCCTTAAGGATAAATAAAACAAAGACAATTTGGTAGGGTAAGCATTAACAAATTCAAAATTAAATTTTGATTTATTCTATCTTAAAATTAATCAATGTGAATTTAATATTCGATTTGTTCTATCCATTTAAAATTTAAAATTAAATAGATTTAATTAATTTTTTTTTAAATACAAAATATATGATATAAATAAAAACATTTATGTTCATTTTAATAATATAAAATTGTATATATATATATATGATGTAATAACTAGGTTGTATTCTTTGGACCAAAAAACTTTTAAGGCACAAAACCTTTAGGTCAATTCAATTACCAAACATTTCTTTGTTTGTGAACTAATGAAAGCTACGTTGCATAATTTTTGACATGCAAATACGCACCAACTCAGTAGAATCTTATTAATTTAAAGAAATATTATGAAAAAAAGCATAAATATATCAAATTTATTGTGTTTAGTAAAATCGTTATCTGCTGAGATTGAAAAAAAAAACTAGGTTAAATATGTTAAAAATTACAAATAGCATTTTCTATTTTATTTTAGCTTGTATTTATCTTTAAAAAAAAGAAAAAAGAGATAAAATATTCTTTATTCAATAAATTATTTTCTGCCTTTTATACTTAATAATTTGTATAAATGTACAGTATTTATATATTTTTATCTATTATAATTATATTTAAGATATTAGATATAAAATTGATATTTTAATAATTAATATTATATGATTTTAATTCATATAATGTAAGAGAGTCCTACTTTCTCGATCATTAACACTATACTTTTGTTTTGGAAAAGATAGATATTATCGTAGCAAAACCTAATCAATTGTCGCACTTTATTTTAAAATAATAAAAAGATTTCAAATCTAAAAGCAAATAATTTATCATAATTGAAAGCTTACGAAGTTATCACCTAACGAAAACAACAACAGCCCCTATAAAGTGTAGCCAACAAAAGTTAATTTCATTTAATTAACAGTTATGTGATTAATTTTGACTGTCACAAAACTAGCCATAAGGGCATCATCGAGTACAAGATCATCGACAAAGAGAGCAACTAAAAAAAAGAACAAAAAAGAAACAAAAAAATTAATATTATTTATTTTATAATTATTTTATGTTTATTATTATCATGTTTACATTATAATTAATTGATATTAGAACTTTTTTGGTTTGATTTGGTCATGATAATAGTGTCGATGATATAAGAAATTATATTGTTGGATTGCAACATCAAGTTCTCGTTATGGTGGGTGAAGATTTAATATATTATTGTATAATTGGATTTAAATGAGACATTGAAAGGGATCAATAAGATGTCATCATCCTTGACACGTAAAAACAACGTAAGTCGTAAGGATTGAAAAGCCTTTTTTAAAATTTGTTTACACTTGACAAAATTTACAGGGTGTGTTGAAAGAAAAAATAATTGCTTCCTAGTAGGCAAAATACAAACAACTTTATATGAAGAAAACACTAACCATGAAATTGCAATTGAAACGACGTCTCTATTCACATAAGTTGGCAAAAGACTCCTCTCTTGAAGATCGTCAAAATGTCTTTAAAAAATTTCTCAAATGTAGGGTTGGTTCCGCTATGTTCTTTGCTCCCTTATTATTCATCCTTCAGAGATATCATCTTGTATAGTCGTGAAACTCTTTTTGTTAACGAAATACACAATTTCATATTCTCGTATGTTAAGATAAATCACCTTATAGTTGATCCGAGTTTCAAGCAAGTAGTCTTATTGCTAATGGAATGACTGAAAGTAATCGTAGGAGGAAAACATAATAAATTCTAACAGTAGAAATAAAAACATATCAAACCAAAAATCTAACAATTCCTTTAACCACAGAGATCGTTTAGTTCGTGCGTTTTAAATATCATTTTACTGTATTATGAGTATGATAAATTTATTACGATATTATATCATAATTAAGTGACAAAATTAATATTATATTTTACATAAACCTTAATAAACTAAAAGTTCATATTATATAAATTTAAAATATTTATGTATTTATATTTCATTAATATTATAAATTATATTTTATAATATTTTAATTAATTTGTTTTATCGTACAAAGATGAAAGATGGCCTCAATCATAGTAAACCTAATCAAATATTAAAATAGGAGAGGTTATTTCTTGTTTTAAAATACAAAAATCTACCTACTAATATAATATCAATTATTCTAATAATATATATATATATATATATATATATATACATCAATTATCTTTTTTCTTGGTTCGATAATATAATTATCAATTACATCAACTTTCTCTCCAATCACCCGTTTTTAATTCTCTCTTAGCAAGCAGAGAAAAAAAAAAGATTTTCTTTCTTGTTCGTTCAAAGGAGTTTTCCCGAGAAAATTAAATCCTTGTCTTATAACCCAGATCTAAGGATCATCGCCCGAAATTCTTGCCCATAAATTTGTTCCTTTTAGATTCTCTTCTACATAAGCCCTTGTACCGGAGCAATCAAAGTATACCTTTTCCCCCTATCTTTTATATTCCTAAAACTTTGATTTCCTAAAAAATTTCTTTACTTTATCCTACCTAGAAAATGCAGCTTGATGGTCCCAAAAAGTTTTCTCCCTTTGTTTATCCCTTTAGTCACTAAAGAAGTTAACGATTTTTTTCTTCTAAAAAGGGTGGCTTTGTAAGGATTTTAGAACTGGGTTTTGATCTTTGGAATTGATAGATTAGAATTTTAATGGATCTGGTAGCTACTTTAAAGAGAAGGGAATTAAGTCAATTTGTCAATATCAGTAAAGTGAAATAAGAGGGTAAGGGTGTTTTTATTTCCCTTTATTTTGTTATAGTTGAGTGTAAAAAGTTTATTAAGATTAGAGCATGGAACATATTATTGGCGGAAAATTCAAGCTTGGTCGGAAGATCGGGAATGGATCGTTTGGTGAACTTTATTTAGGTATTATGATAATGGTGTGTTTGTTCTTTTTTTTTTCCATTTGTTCATTGATTTCAGTGGGTTTTTTTTCCTGTTTTGTTTTGCAGGCGTTAATGTACAAAGTGGAGAGGAAGTGGCTGTTAAGCTGGTAAAGTTTGAAGTTGGTGGAATTTTTCTTATTTTTTAGATTGTATTGGTTGATCATTAGAAATGTAATATGGTTGTTTAGCCAAGCTTGTTGCTCTTGTGTTCGATGTTATGATGTGATGTATTTCTTTGTGTTTCATTTGGATGGCTAGTACTTTCGATCATGTCTTTGCTTTTAGAGTGTGTAGAAATATTTCATTAATCATGTATATACATGTGCTATGATGGAGATGCTAGATTTAGTGTTTATAGAGTTACCTTGTCAAAGGAGATCAGGTGGCACCTCGGATTGTTTAAACCCAAGCAGTTCTTTTATGCCGTTTGAAATCTAAGAAAATCAAATGGTGAACTTTCTATTTTTACCAAGTAGTTCACCGAGTTGGAGGTTAGGGGTATGCAATTAGTTCAAGTAGATGTGAAGATAATAAAATTCAGCTATAACGGCAATTTCTGGAGTTTTTTTATATGTTTACTTTTGTAACGTGATAAAGGAATTAAGTTAAGAATTTGTTTGACCATGGTTTATTTTGAGTGTCTTAGAATTGTAGCGTGTGATATTTGTTGCTGATATAGGGATGGATCCATCAATTATTTAAGCTGATAGCTTTAGATTACCTGTTTAAGTGCTTACAAAATTACTCTAGAACTTGTGTCTTTAGATTGTAGTTCCATTATTCCATTGGATAATGTAATTGAGATTCATGATATTGTCGCTGCTTGAAGTTTTAAATTGGCTATCATCATATGCTCTATTGCTCTCCTTGTTTGCCCAGGAACCTGTCAAGACCAAGCATCCTCAACTTCACTATGAATCAAAGCTGTACATGATTCTTCAAGGAGGGAGTGAGTTTTCAGTTTTGTTTTACTCGCTCTCTATGTAATGTGTTTTTCTATACTTTATGGTAAATTGGAGCCTGTAAGTCTTTTTTTCTTTTTCTTTTCGTATGCAGCGGGTATTCCTCATTTAAAATGGTTTGGAGTTGAGGGTGAATACAGTGTTATGGTCATTGATCTTCTTGGGCCAAGTCTGGAAGATTTATTCAACTATTGCAATCGAAAGTTCTCTCTAAAAACGGTTTTGATGCTTGCGGATCAGATGGTGAGTATTCTGCTTTTTCTCAGGGAACTTTAGTATTTTTAGTTGGCTACCTTACTAATAATTGTCCTTTCATTGTTGGTAATTCAGTTAAATAGAGTTGAGTATATGCACTCTCGTGGTTTTCTTCACCGTGACATAAAGCCTGATAACTTTTTGATGGGTTTAGGGCGCAAAGCAAATCAGGCATGTTCTTCTGTTTATTCCCCACATTTAATGGCCCGTGCATTTTCATGGATTTGTTTATGGATGATGTGGCATGAAATTATTTTGATAAGATTTTTACACAATTTTATATACCATTTGAAATATTGTTTTTCCTTAACTGATATTTTAGTTTGACATAACCGTATCTCACTTATTCAACAAGATGTCCTAGTATGCGTTGCTTATCTCTCTTTTTTCCCACCTTTTCACTGCAGGTATATATAATTGATTATGGCCTTGCAAAAAAGTATAGGGATCTTCAAACACACAAGCACATACCATACAGGTAATACTTTTGATGTGTTTGTGTAGAATTTGATATTTCCTCTTGTAGGTTGATCATCGATTGACCCAATGTAAAGAACTCAAAGCTTGACTTAATTCTATAATAGATTTAAAGATCACGAGTTTTCACGGAAAGGCTATTTAGCTTAGCAAATAGAAGATGGTTAAAATTTTTCATTGATTATGTTTGTAGCTCATCAGCATATCTAACACGTCCATTTTCAATCCTAAATTTATAGTGCCTCATAAACTATATGGTTTTGTAATTAACTAATATTAGAAAATCTTCGTATTTAGTTATGCTTTTACCTGTAGTATAAATTGTCAATTCTTCCAATAAGTATAGCTCATATGTTGCATATTTGTTTCTCTGGTGAAGTCATTTAATATATGCCACACTGACCTCATCTTGTACTATTTTTTCTTTCTTTTTAAACCCTTTTACTCCCCATGGACTCACATTAAGTTATTGATTTTTTTTCTTATAGGGAAAACAAGAATCTAATAGGAACAGCTCGGTATGCAAGTGTTAACACTCACCTTGGAGTTGGTGAGCAAACTTATTGCATTTTATATTGATATGGGTTTTTCTTTCAGCGAACACCGGCCATTTTTTACTATTTTGGCTTTGATTTGTGATCCACTGTGCTTTACATAACTTGCAGAGCAAAGCAGGAGGGATGATCTTGAATCTCTTGGTTATGTGCTTATGTACTTCCTTAGGGGAAGGTTGGTTTAACACATATCGGGTTGCTTACTTCACAAACCTTATAAATGCCGGGTCACACTGTTAACTTAGTTTCTTGTTCTCTTCCTCAGCCTTCCATGGCAGGGCTTGAAAGCTGGCACCAAAAAGCAGAAGTACGACAAGATTAGTGAAAAGAAGATGCTTACCCCCATAGAGGTAGCATTACTTGCATCTGATTCCTGTGAACTCTTTTGTTCAAATAAATAGTTGAACTGTTCAAAATGTTTTCCTCCTAGTTCTCTTCATGTTCGAGAAATCAAAGATTGGTTGTATGCCTGATGATTTATATGCCATTTTCAGGTCCTTTGCAAATCATATCCTTCTGAGTTCACATCATACTTCCATTATTGTCGATCACTACGGTTTGAAGATAAACCAGATTATTCATACCTGAAGAGGCTGTTCCGGGACCTTTTCATTCGAGAAGGTTCACTTGCTATTCTAATTTTCTCTGTTCAAATTTTGCTTGACTTTTTGAATTTTGTTTAATTTTGAATACTGAATCAGTTTTACAATTAGTTCATCATCATAAATTTGCTAAAGAACTTTTATCATGAAATCTGCTTTTTGAACTCTCGAAAGTATTGATTTTGACAACAAACCAATGCAGCTTATCAGTTTGACTACGTATTTGATTGGACTATGCTGAGATATCCGCAGGTTGGCTCTAGTTCAAGAGCACGGGTCGGTGATCCATTAACTTGCTGGACTTGATTTCCATGGAAAAATTAATTTTGTTTTCTTCATTAAAGATGCTTATACTATGTTTCATATTATTTTTCATCAGCCAAACCCAAAGCCAGGTTTAAATCCCCCAGGAGTATCTGCTGAAAGAACTGAAAGGCCTGCAGGTCTGTTCCTTTTCACAACCTGATTTTATGATAATGTAGGAAAAATTAATTATTGTTTTAAGACACTTAAATTTGACCATGTTCTGACCTTGATTTCCTTAACTTACGGCTTTAGCATGTTTCTTTTTTTTTGCTCTAGTTGGCCAAGAGATTCGTGAAAGGTTTTCTGGTGCTGTTGAGGCATTTGCGAGACGGAATGGATCTGGGCATGGTGATCAATCTCGATACAGATCTTCAGATGATGTGCCATCATCCAAGGACGTGGTGAGTGATCTTGCTTCTGAAAAAAATTTGATTTTATCTATTGTTTTTCTATGAATTCCAGTTTGCATGTTTTCTTTTGATTTTCTCTTGAACATTTTCTCTCCTTCAGCAACCTGATTCTGATAGAGCTCAGTCTTCCTCGAGAAACGGTAGTACTTCAAAGAGGCCTGTTATTTCAGGTAGCCGGCTTGGCTACTCTGGTGAGTCTAGTGAAAACCGGTCTGGCAGATTGGTCTCAAGCGGCAGTTGCCTGTCAAACACTCAGAGAGTCCAACCCGGTTTTGAATCCAAATCATCTTTTACTCCTGCTGCAGCCACGAATGGTGGTCGCATTGATGCCCTTCGGAGCTTTGACTTCTTGACAATCGGAAGTGGGAAAAGGAAATAAATGGCAAATGCATCTAGTACTCAAGGATTTGCTTGTTATGAAGGAGATCTCAGCACAATAACAGTATTTACAAACAGTGTACTCTGTATATCTATGACCTTGGTTTGGTTTCATCCACAACTGCAACAATCTCCCCGAAGAAGTTACTCTTCGGGGGAAAATTCGTCAAACTGCTTCCTCGTGCACCCTTTATCAGGTATTCTTGCCATGAACATGCCTCTAGAGTATCATTAAAGAAAGAAATGATATCATGGTCATCACCTCAGGAAAATTGTTGGTATATTTCCAAGTTCCAACTATTTTCTAGCTGTAATAAGCACTTGTATATTTTCAAGTTCCATGTTTGGGTAATATAGGTACCATGTAATAAAATTACAATAGGCAAATTCCAATCCTCAAAATTAATAATAAATATAAGATTGTTTCGAATGAGAAAACATAGATATAACATGAACATATTTACACGAGTCGAGTGCAAATGGTAAATCATTTGTATTGTATACGTGAGAACAAGTTATAAGATTACATGTAAAATGACAATGGGGTCTCGTGCAGGGAATTCTTTTTTGCTTTAACAATTGACATAATGTGGAGAGGGAAAATAAACAACAAATATAAGAGTATTTGCTTTCAGAAATCACCTTCACTAAAATAAAAAATCTACTACTAACAGTTCTCAAACCACTTTTGTTTTGGGGGACATTTGCACCTAAAACTTCTCAATGAAACTTCGGAACGTAAAGATGCGGTGAAAAAGTAAACCTTGAACAGGTTGACTAGCAGCTTCGGCTGACTCGTCCTCTGCAAAACATAGGCCAAGATTAAGACGACCGAACCATAGCTCGATTGACAACGTTTAGTTCTTGCAATGTGCTGAAATTAACAACTATTATATGCAGCAACGATATCGAACAGAAATTGTACCGCACCAACCGAAAGCAATATCTTACCAAAAAGGGATTTGATGGAGGGTCGCTTAGGTTTCGAGCTCTTCTTCTTTAATTCAGCTGCACCATGGAACAAGGCAAAACCAGTCAAATAAGAAGAAACTTACCAGGTTAGAAATTCGCAGAGGATAAACCTGTGTTCAAAAAAACTAGACGATGAAGAAGAGAGATTGAGAAAAACATGTATCAGCGATCATCAAAAGATACATGAAGTATTTTTGTTAGATACAGTTCGGGTATGGAAATCAGAAGCAGCAAAGGAGAAAAAAAATAAATCGAGGGAGGAAGAAAAATACCAATGCCAGGTAACTGGTTATCATTTACAATCTCAAAATTCTTGTACGTGTAACCCACAAAGTTTACATCTTTGGATGGAAGCATCTGCATCAAAGGGAAAAATAAATAAATAATGGAGTATGTGAGTAATAGAAACGTCATTTATCAGATACTACCCTTTCTTAACCATTTCATGATTATATTAAAGCTACGGTACGTAAAAATTTTCACATGAAAATGGTTCTGGTATTTATAGGAGGAGCAGATTTTCAAAGAATTCATATGATGAAACATTAGTATAGGTGCAACAAAGGATCCAAAAGAAATCGCCCACCCGAACCCTAAACTAATGGTGCCATTTAATTTCGAGAACCCCGGTAAAGAAAATTTCGTAGCAACCTTGGCTAAGAAACAGTCACTCCTCCAGGTTAACGGTAGCAGCAGAAATTACAATATAAAAAAAAATTCTCTATGATACCAATCTTGGTTCACAACTTTTTTAATTGAAAATACATGAAATTGTCCTAACCTTTCTCCAAGGACCTGATTTTGCGGCGGATGGAATTTGGTTGTCAGCCTGGTGCATCAAAGAAAGGAAAGCAATAAGAATATGTCTAAACAGGCCGTTTATATTTATAATGATCATAACACTAATCTACCTCTTCGAACTTCTCAAAATTTTGCGTGTCCAACTCATCATTGACTTCAGGAATGAATGCAGCTTTCATTTGATATAACTTGTCCCATTCAATACCTTTAAACCATGGGTGACTCTGAAAAAAAAAATAAAGCCAGTTAGTTTAGTAAGTTGCATTCTAATTTTTAAACAACATCAAAGAATCCAGAACAGGACACACCACACAACACCTTAATTTCATGGGAGCCTTTTGTGCCAAGCCTCTGCTCGACATTACATAAAAGTTTACTGATAAGATCTTTTGCTTCTGCTGATAGTTTTGCTTCTTCCGGAAATTTTAAGTGTGTTCTCCAATTTACTATCTGGAAAATGTAGAAAGAAGATAACTACAATAAAGGCACATAAAAATATATAATAGCACAAAACGAAGACACCACCATAACTTAATGGTAAAAGTTACCTTCCGACAGGTTGACATTGGCTCGTCTGAATAAAAAGGCGGATATCCAACAAGCATTTCATACATGATAGCACCAAGAGACCACCTAGAAAAATATCCAAGAAAATTATCATTACAACCCCACCTCTAGAAATGAATACAAATGAAATATCTTGTTTAATATACAAACCAATCACATTCCATTCCGTATCCTTTCTTCAGCAAAACCTCTGGAGCAATATAGTCAGGTGTACCAACTGTAGAATAAGCCTGAAGTATCACAATATTTAAGTGTTCAGGCAACATTACTTTTCAATTTCAAAAAATGTGAACTCTTAACAAAACCAAACAAGGCCTGAACTGCAAAAAATGGAGAAATAAGTCGGGAACTTTCTTGCTTTGTAAGCCCAATATTAGCATCAGTAATAAAAATACATAATGTTGCATTAGTTACATCATGGTAGTCAAGTACTTACAAGCATCCTTCTGTTCCTCTGCCAGTGCTGTAACTGCTCTTGTTGTGTGCGTTTTGGTGCCGCAGGTCGTCCATCACTTTGAAGAGCCCCACTGAGATTCTTTGCCATAGAAAAATCCTTTTCCTGAAGATTACTGCAATCTAATGGTTTGCATAATCCAAAATCTGATAATTTCATGTGACCATTTCTATCGAGTAGTAGATTGTCAGGCTTGATATCCCTGCAACATGTGACAGAGAATGGGTTCATCACTTAGTCCAAACTCAAGAAAGCAATTATATAAAAGTGTGCAAAGGTTTACCCTATGTTTGGATAAATAATAATAAAGGAAAAGAAAGGAAAGCTAAGGAAAAGAGAGGAAGGCCAAAGAAAAGAAATGATATATTTATCTCTTGTTTGGATAATTAAAATTAATAAAGGAAAGAAAAGGAAGAGAATTTTAACATTGGTTAAAAAGTGGAAAGGAAAGGAATTGTTTTCATAATTTTTCCAATTATAAACTTTATATAAGTAACATATAATAACAAATATGAAACTACAACTAACCTTGAGACACAAAAATTTCATGATATATGAGTCAAATAAATATATATCTATATTTATAATAGAGGTTGCTAAGCAGAATATAATTATATCTACCAATATATTATAGTTGTAGACTCAATACCAAAATATCTAATAACATGCATTTTTAAAGAAATTAGTGGAATATATATATATATATATAAACTCAAACATAAAAAATTTATAGTTCAAAAAAATAAAATTTAAAATCCAATATTTAGTCCAAAATATTATTTAAGAAAATTTAGAAAATAAAATGTAAGAAAAGAAATGAAATTATAGTAAATTATACAAATTGAAAAAATGGACATTTTAAAAATTAAAATATTTTTATTTCCTTTCCTCCCACTTTGCCCCAAATTAGGGTTTTAAAAAATAGGTTAAAACAAGGGAACGTGAGGGATTCTCAACTCCCCTTACTTCCCCTGCTATGTAAATTTTCCCCCAAACAAAGGAAAGGATTGTCCTTTCCCTCTACTTAGTTTTCCCTCACCCTTATCCAATCCAAACATAGCGTTAATTTCATTCCGACTCACCTGTGAATGTAATTATGTTTGTGGATTGATTCAATCGCCAAGACAGTTTCTCCAACATAAAACCTGGCCTCATCTTCAGTTAGTATATCTTTCCGCATTAGTAAAGTCATCATATCTCCCCCGGGCAAATATTCCATAATGAGATATAGGTATTCTTCATCTTGGAAGGAGCAATATAGTTTAACAATGCAATTACTGTCAACCTCGGCAAGTAGATTTCTCTCAGCTTTCACATGTTCAACCTGAATAACAGAAATGCAAGCTAACAAGTTAGCAACATGGCGCAAGACAAGTTAAGGAAACTACATAGGCAGTTCAATATTGTGTACCTGGCCTCTACGAAGCATCTGACTTTTTGAGCTTCTTCATAGCATAAACATGACCAGTTGCCTTCTCCCTACAGACTCTAACCTGTAATGAGAAAAGGTTGTGTCAAAAGTAATTCTGGCAAAACAAATCAAGATGTTCAGAAGCATTAGTATTTAGTAACAAGCAAATCATGCAACTAAAGCAATAATAAGTAGAAGGCTCTCCTTCTATAAATTCCCTAGATGCATTGTCCGGGGAAAAAGGTTTAATAATCTAGTGATAGTCATAACTCATCAATTTTTCTAAACAATGGCAAGAAGATTAAAGCAAGATCAGAAATAGAAGAAAAAGAAACACCTATGTATGTGTACAATATAACAATGATATAATTACCTCCCCAAATGCACCCTTGCCAATCATGGTCAATGGCTCAAAATCATCAACTCCCATCTTATGCCTCTGGATACGCATGTATTCTGTCTCCTTCTTCTCCAAATATTTAAGTAAGTTGTTTTGTTCTTCTTCAGAGACTTCAGCATCAGCCAACTTCTTTTCTAGAATATCACGTCTGCAGAAAATCATAGTTAACCAAAACCACTATCCCTCTTCTTCAAAAAGAAAAAGGACCACAAATTTTGCGGTGTTCCCTCGATCAAAAATACATTTTAGCATGTTATATTTTTGCAGATGATATGGAACAAAATAACAGCATTAAGTACTTTCGCATAAATTTCTTGAACCAAAACCTGCTACAAAGCATCTTGACATGTGATAATTCTGCCAAATTGCCAGTCCATAATATAGAACACAGTTACATTGCACGCTATATTATAGTTATCTGAGTATAACAGTAACTATTACATGGGGAAATATCCGATAGAGGAAGAATTTAAATCATACCGCTCCTTCCTTTCCTGCAGGGTTTTCATCTGCTTCTTGTAATGGTCTTCAATATACTGTTTTGCAGCTGCTACCCGGTGTTTGGTGAGATTTGATGGTGCCTCTTCACTTGTTGGCGGTTTAGACCCCTCTTTTGCGTTACCTGCACCTTCTTTATTCTTTGAAGGCCTTAACTTATCTTTCGATTTCAACTTGTTGAACCAAGACCTTGTAGCTTCCATTGGTTTACTCGGTACATACAACAGCTTATAAATTTGCACTCCTAAATATACATTACAGTTATGCAGGAATAATCTTGTTCCGACTATCTCATGCTCGCATACAGAAATCTTATCGAATTCAACACACCATTGTTTACCAAAATATCCAACAAACAGATTCTGCAAAGAAAAACAGAATTGAAATGAGAATACATACACAAAGAGAAACCAATCAACACATGAAACAGAATTTTAAGTTGCTATCAGCTGTCAAAGGATACGAACAAATAAACAAACAAAAATGAGTTAATTGGGCAGAAAATTCTAATCATCAGAAACTTCACGATCCAGTAATTTATCACCAAAGATTCAGGTGCAGTGTTAGCTTAATTAGTACCAAATAAATTGATGCTTTGATCCTTGCCAAAAACAACAACTAATTGAAAAGCAATTTAAGTCAATCAATAAATTCAAAGCCATTCAAGGTAGATGTTGCGGAAGAAAGAGGCAATGATGCTTTACATTTAAAATAAAAATCCAGCATTTTGCTAATTTCCTCAGCAACCAAACAGAAACTCAAAACTAATCTAAGAACTAATAAAACTCACAAAACACTAAAATACTCACGACAGTTAAAAGTTCAATCATTTGAAGGAAAATCTAATAATTAAACAAACTTACCAAAGACGCTCAGCAGGATGAATTTGTAAAAGCAAGTGAGAGAAGGGGTAAACCGACAGCGTATTAATTGTAGAAGAAAACCCTGAATCGAAAGAAAGAAGATGAAGGTGAAGGTGAAGGTGATGAAATTAAGTATCGTTGGTTAGGATTTTATGGAGGCTTTGGCTTTGCCACTCCGACTTTACCTTTGCTTTTTTTTTCTTTCTCATTCTTAATTTTTATATTTGATACTTTTGACTGAAAAATTATTACAATCTCAATCATATTTCAGTTTTATATTTTTAATCTATTTTTTATTTTATTTGAATCAATTATTTATTTATAATTGTAATACAATAAATAATATATATATATATATATATATATATTATAAGGATATGAGGTGGATAACTTGAAAATAATTGGATTGGAGTTTGGAGAACTGTCAATATTTAATTAATAGGACAAATAATATTAACTTCTTCATTATAAAGAAATAAGGATAAATTACATATTTAATAATTCAACTATTACTTTTATTTCTTTTTTGTCACTCAATAATTTTAAAATAAATTATATCAAACATTTAGCTTTTGTTTTATTTTGATTACTTGTCGTTAAAAAATTAATGTTGATATTAACATTTTACTATAAAATAATGCCACATGATCATTGAAAAAAATATCATGTTAACAGTTCTGTTAAATTTTTAATAACGAATGACAAAAATAAATTAAAACGTAATGTTAAATATAATTTAAAAAAAATAATTAAATGGCTAAAACAGAATAAAATGATAATTTAGGTATTAAATTTGTACTTTCCTAATAAATAAATACAAAGCCTTAATATCTGCCTTACACACAACCGCGTTATACGCGTGTCCCTTGCCTAATGTCAATACGAGTTGTCGCCCGCACACGTATTTGTTTTTTTTATATTAATTTGAAATTGTTTTCAAAAAAATATATTTTAAATTTCCAAAATATTATGACTCAAAAGAAAATGTAATTTAATCGTTAATTTAATTATTAAATGTGAGCTTTCATTGCATGAATCAATTTACCTCTGTGATTAAAGAAATCGTTATTGTGAGGTCATAGGTTCATTGATTATCAAATGGTTTAGAGTACATAAAATATATATTATTTTGTAATCGACTTTAGTTTAACTAAATAAACAAATTAATGGCTCGTTCGTTCGTTTATATTCAACTCAATCTTAAAGTCATTAATATTTAAAAACTCAATTAATTTTAAACTAAAATAAAAAAAATACCTAAATCAATTAAAGAATAAACCCTAAAATTATTTGGAAAGAAAAAAACTATCCTCAAATACAAATCCAATTAATTTTATATTTGTTCGTTTATATTCGCTTATGCTCGATCGTTTGTGTTCGTTCATGTTCGTTCGTTTGTATTCGTTTATCATTTTAATAAACGAACAAGAACGAATATGAACAAGCTATATTCCTTAATGAACGAACATGAACAAGAAATTTTATCCGTTTAGTTGTTCGTGTTTATTCGTTTGTTCGGCTAAAGTAAAACGAATGAACGTGAACATATCTTCGTTCCTGTTTGTTCGGTTTATTTACAGGTCTATTTAATGGCATCATTAATAATATATTAAATATATATATATATATATATATATATATATATATATATATATATATATATATATATGTTTTGATTCAAATGTTAATATGGTGTAAACCTACTAAGTTTTATGCAACTCAAAAAAAATTCTTTTTTTTCCTCTTGTTTTCGGTGATAGTCTCTAACAAGATATATTTTATGATCTTGCAAGTTGTGCTACTGTGCACTAATCATATTATTATTGTATCCTAAGAGACAGATAACCTAAAAATCTCGAGCACCGAATGGCTGAAAATCTATCTTAAGAAACTGTGTGTTTGCGAGCCTCAGCCACTCAATATTCTGTCAATTTTCGAGTTTTTTACTTTAATCTATACTTTTTAGATATTAATACAAATTTCATTTAGTTTTATTTTCATCTCATATTATGTTGTAACAACATATCCAATATGTTTTCGACACAAATACGGTTTTTTTTCATATGCGCTGTCCCTATGTTCAAATATGCATCAAACATATATTTCATGTACAATAAAGAGTGGTAACTGGTCATTTACTGAAGAAGAAGCTTCAAATGGCATCAAAGTAGAGTTGTATTTTTTGTTTGTTTGAAGAATAGCCTATATGGATGGTAATCAATTCATGGCTTGTCATGTAATTCATTACATTTTGCAAAAAGGGGTTAAAAATAACAATTTGAACCATTGCTTACTGCTACAAAATGAAATTGTTTGCTGGATTAGTAATGGGAGAGCCTCTTAATACCCTTTGGAACTGCAGAAGAAGGCATATGTGGAGAGGGTACATGGAAATCGTGAGCCTGAAATATTCTACTCGGAGTTCCGGACGCTTTCACTTGTCAGCCACAATTTCTTTTGGACGATAAACACGACATCGTCCCCTTCATGTTCTGAATCCGAACTGGAATCAGCTGTTGCTACTGCTTCCCAGTGCAAAGCTGATAAATACTTCCTTACGGAATCTATCACCCGTTGATTATCCCGAATGATTATGAAACCACTGGGGCGAAGAATACGATCCATCTCGAGTAATAAATCCTCAGCACTGCAGCCCTTCTTCTCAATATCCGAAAAGACTGTCCAAGCATGGAGTAAATCATATGTTCGAGGGTACGTGGAAAAGGCTTCACACCTGCCAAAATGATCAAAACAGGGGATGAAAATGGACATAAAGAAAGCCAAGTACAAAAATCGTGGGGTTTAAATGAAAAATAAGTTATATTTCGGACTACGTTAAGCAGATTTCGTAGGTTAATTTGTGCGTACCAGTCATGAGTAGAGCCAATGAGGCCTCTGTCATATATCAACTTAAGCGTGTTCGGTCCATCCTCCGGGATGACATTCATCACCCAAACATTCTTGTCTTTTAGAGCAGCCGCAAAAGATCCCATGTGTGCTTTCATGTCCATCAAATTCCTCAAACTATCATCCTCAATCTTAGGACTCAAGAGATTCCAATAACTCTCTACCTGACGGCGCCAAGTTTCCTATGGAATTGCAAAAGCTATATTAGCATCCATACCATTGGTCAGGGTCGCATAAATCACAATACAAGCACAGGGAAATAATCACAAATAAAAGCATGGATGAAAAAATGCTGCTTCATTACCGTGTCTTTTTCGAACATTTCGTTCGAATAACCAAAATCAGCAAGCCTTGGAGGAGGAGATGTCAATCTGGCTGGCCACGGAGCCAAACCACTTCCCTTGGCCTTCTGGTCATCTGATAGAAACAAAGAGAAGTTTTAGTTAAGATAAATTTTAAAGCTCCAATCTTTTAAACCCATCAACTCCAAAGAAAGAACAAAGTTCAACTTCCAAATAAATAAACAGAGGAAGATATCGACTAAAGGCGGGGGAAAAGACTTTAATATTAGTAACACCGATATATATACTCACGATCAGAATAAGGAGTGATACAAGCTTCCATTCGCACACCCCAAACTGCATCTGGATCATCATCGGAACGGCAGAGGGGGGGATTTGTACCAGGTTCTCGTTCCATATAACAATCATTTGTTAAAGGCTTTTTCCAAATGACAGTTTGGTTCCTCTTCGCAGCTATTCTCCAACACATACGTTTCACAAGGGCACTCATCTCCCTCCATATTCGGAGATCCTCCTCATCTTGTGCATAAGCTTCCGGAGACGAGTAGGCAAAATAGCCTCCTGGTCTAAGTAACCGGTCTAGCTCAAGAAGAAGAATCCCATCCCTTTGAAGCCAATCAATCCTACAGCGAGAACAGTGAGCAAGTTCGAATGATCTGCTCGGGTAAGGGAGCCTTTTGGTCCCTAGAACACCGAGATATGCAGGAATTCCTCTTTCCAAGGCAAATTGGATTTGATTTTGATGCACATCATTGGGTGCTAATGACATTGCTATGATATCAGAAGAAAGAAGATATGCTCCAAAACTTGCAACGCCACAACCAACATCGAGAACTGTACGAAGTGTCCCTTCATTATTTAAATTGTTGTGTGAAAAGTTGAGCATCTGCCAATTCAAAACAATAGAAACCAAAGTCATTGCTTCTTCCCTAGGTTTGAGAAGCTCAATAAGAACCATTACATTCGAAGCCAATCAGTGAAATAAGGAACCAAAAAATGATGCAGAAAACTCAAACAGACACAAATATATCATTCCTTAATAGGTGTTCAAGATTCGTGTTTCAAAATATTTTCTTTCGAGCCAAAATTAGTATGCATCAGCGATCTTACATTTGCGATTGAAGCAATATACTTGTCAGCTCCATAGTGAAAATGGGTGCCTCCCCCTGGGAAAACTATCTTTTCACCTTGTACAACCATCCAATTCTGGTCAGACTTTTCATGTGCAAGGTGAGTATGGGGAATATTTGCCTTCCACACTTCATCTCTGCTTTGAGGCCACTTAATTGGAATCTGTAGTTTCACATGAATTAGAAAACTTTCGGAATATGAAAAATATCACAATGATCAACAATATAACACATATACGCTACGACCATCACTATATATGACAAAACTATATACACTTCATCAGCACCTTGTATCCTGGAGGAGGAGGAATCAAGCAATTATATCTCCTTTCGGGAGGCGGGCAGTGACGTTCATAGTGCTCCATCACCGACAAGTCAAGCTTTAATCTCATTTGGTATATGATATTTCTGTCTAAGCATGGAATCAATTCCAAATGTCGATCATCGCAGACCTACGAAAGTCATAAGCAGATAAGTTAAATGCCAGGGGAACTAATCAATATGGAATGGTTCAACAATAAGCAACTTACCGGGAATGTTTTTGGTGCAACATCTTCTCCATCCTCCAGTCCAAGTTTTGTTGAAGATTCATATTGCTTGCCAACAGCTTCATCATCTCCACCCAAATATGAAGATCCAAACTTTCTCAGAGATTTACTGCCATATTCAAGAACTGAAGCGCCATTGCTTGAAGACCCAAAAATAGATCCATAATATACATAGAGAAAACCAAGAAAGATTGCCACAACAACGAGCGAGGTGATTAATCTCTTCTTTTGGCCTCCATCAGATCTTCCCCTCATCCTTATTTTGCACTATGATTCTTCACAAATTGTTTTCACACAAATCTCCCTATCCTAGTCAATCTCACACCAAATAAATCGGTCTCGTTGCTACCATCAGAGGGGGGTGCTCTATTCAATTGAATGAATAACACAAAACACTTCAAAAATGATCAAATCTGCAAGAAACCATCAGGTGATTAATGCTCTTGAATCAACCAACAAACTGATTTAACTTCAACAATAAATCTCAAAACCGAGCTTTAAGCTACTGCAACATTTCAGATCCATGTTAATAGTCCAAATATATAGGAAACTTACATTACATGATTAAAAAGAAAGGGTAGATACAATGAAATGATTAATGCTAGATGACACTAACTGCCTACAGTTGTAACCAGTTGATTGACAACCATGAAAAAGCAATAAAAGCATGTAACTAATGCTCTTTTTTACTCTGAATTGAAACAATGGAATCGTGAAAATGACAGCTAGGTAGTAACTTTGATGAACTAAACAGATCTGAATAAAAAAAATCTCAACCGAACCCGAATTTCTGCATTAAGGGGGAAAACATTAAAAACTAACCAAATTCCACCATCAAGAATCAAACTTGGATTACCAAGGAATCATTATTACTAACATTCTTGAAGTAAAGATAGGAAATTGGGACTGAACGATTAAAACTACCACAAAAAACAAACAAAACCCCGTAAATCAGATCCCCTAAAAGAAAAGAAACACGGTTTTAATGAAAACCCAGAAATGTATTTACAACAAAACAAGCTTGAAATGAAAAAAATAGAAATAAAAGCTTACTGGATTTCAATGAAAAAAATCCGAAATGGGCAAAATCTAATAGAGATATAAGAAAAGATAGCACAGCAAGAAAGTGAGAAGGATTAGATCTCAAAGAATCTGCTTCTTTTTAATATGAACTGTGAGGGAGGGAGAGAGAGAGAAAGCGCAAGACAGTGTTGAGTTTCACACGTTGTTTATGAAGGAATCCGTGTGAACATCTCTCTGTCCAAGACTGGATTTTTTGACGACTAGAATTTGACATTGGGTGAATTTTTTTATCATTATTCTAATTAAATTTTAGGGTAAACTATAAGTTTAGTACTTAAATTATTACTTTTATTCTATTTTAGTATCTAAACTTTATTTTTTTAAAATTATACTTAACGTTTAATTTAGATTTATTTTGGTACTCGGATTTAAAAACTTAATGGAACTACAAAATTACTTATTTGTGGGAAAATTTATAATTCATCATTCAACTATTTTCTTACTCCTATTTTTGTCACTAAAGTTTAAAATTTTTTAATTTAATTACTCAACTTTCAAATTACATAATTCATCATTGCATTATTATTATTTATTAATATATAATTTAAAAATTAGATTTGAAAGTTAGAGAGATTAAATTAGGAGTAATTTGAAAGTTAGGTAATTAAATTAAAAAAATAAACTTTGGTAATCAAAATAGGAGTGAGAAGCTAGTTGAATGATGAATATTGTAATTTAACCATAAAAATGCCACAAATAACGAAATGAAATAAAAAATCAACATTAAGTATGATGTTGAAAAAGATAAAAGTTTAAGTACCAAAACAGGATAAAGATAATAGTTTAAATACTAAACATATAATTTACCCTAAAATTTAGTAAAATCAGGTGGTTGATGGATTTGGCAAGTTGCATTCATTTATTATTATTATTTACGCGGTGAGAATATTATGGGCCTTCTTTCTGCCTGCGAAAGCGGTAAAAAGGCACAGCCTTCCCATTCCAAGGGTAATTGCCATTTGCCTTTCTTTCTTCCAAATGTAGAAATAGAACCATAACACCTTTTTCATTTCTTATATACATAAGGTAGAAATAAAATTATTATTTAGGTTTGACCTTTAAATAGTTAATTTTAAGTATACTTTGTATTTATTATTAAAAATATCAAAATCTAATGTTGGACTAGATTGATTCATTTAAATCATAAATTTATTTGTCTAAATTTAATATGATTGAAAGTGTTAGATTCAGTCTCATGCAAGAATAAAGTCAAAATATCAACGAATAAACTATAATTAATAGTATAAAATAAGGGTACATAAAAATTTTAAATATATATTTAATAACCAAAATTAAGGACAGTGCCCCCAAGATAGAGCATAGTTTTATCTCTGGTCCCATGTTTATTTTCTTTTAAATCGTTTTGTTGTTGTGTTTTAATATGTTTCAATCAATACTATATTTTATTAGTGTGTATTGGTATGTACATGTTATATATTAACTCAAACTTTTAGTTGGTAAATTTTATTATAATTTCAATAGTTGAAAATTATTTGATAACTAAACATATTTATAGGTAAAAAATCTTATAGGGTAAAGATTCTTGGCGATCGAGTTTTTTCTCTATAGATATATATAGGGATGGCAATGGGTCGGGTCGGGTTTTTGGACCACCCGACCCGACCCGAGAAGAAAGGGTTTTTCACCCGTGACCCGACCCGATCCGACGAAATTAAGGTTTAACCCGACCCGACCCGAATATATGACTTAGAAACCCGACCCGACCCGAAATAATAATAAAAAAAATTTATTCAATGAAAACAGTGACTTAATTGAAAAAAATTATATATGGAGGGACATTATTGTAATTATCCCTAAATATATAGGATAAAATTATATATATTTTTCGGGTCGGGTCGGGTCGGATTTTTTTCACCCTAAACCCGACCCGACCTGACCCGAACAGTACATTTAAAAAAAACACGACCCAACCCGACCCGAACCCGAATTTTTTTAAAAAAAATCCGACCCGATCGGGTCGGGTCGGAACCCGTCGGATTCGGGTTGAGTTGCCATCCCTAGATATATAGTATGTCTTAACTTTTAGAATAATGCGAGAGATGATTGTGTTAGAGAAATGTAATTATTTTCATTACCTTTGTATTTTTTATAATTTACGTTGTAAAGATGAGTTTTGTAAGAATATTAGAAGAGTGTTTTGTGATACATTGGATTTTTGGACATATATAATATTATGGATTTTTTAATGTATTTGTTCTTTTTGTGATATATACATTTATAAAGGATTATTGTTTCTTTCATTTGTAGAGATAAACACGACTAAACTACATTAAATCTCGTTTCTTGTACATGTTCTATTTCATGTTCATATCGCTTCGACTACTTTTTCACTCACTTATTAGTACAAAAAATAATATTTTAAACTAATTGAAATGAAATATTCATGTGCATCGAATACTCGAATTCATTATAGATTTGAATTCAGTAAGTTGAGTTTATCAACAAACTTTTGTGTTTTACAAATAAGTGGATAACGTTGCATCCGATCCATATTAATTTGAGTCGGTCCTTCAGACAATATCCATAGTTAAATATTTGAGTTGTGAATAAAATAAATTAGACTTACAAAATAATATTATAACGAATATCATTATACTCGATCCAGATCAATTTACTAATGATTCGAACATCGATGATTTGAATACCATAAACATCTTTAAATCTAATACAGATAGTGATTGTAATAATTGAACTCACATTGTCCAAAGTCTTTGAAAAATTAATCAAATAATTATGATGTTCGAATCCATACTATCTAACTTCATTGCCATCGATTGTATAAGTAGTGCATAATTTATTCATTTCCCTTCTTTAATCACAATTGTATAAATACATATCTAATATCACTTAAAATATGCTCTCAGTGAAATAAAATACTCAATATATCACACTTACTTTTATCTATTCACATTTTATTTTAAATGATGTTATTTCATTAACATTTGATGAAAGAGTTTATATGGTTGTTAATAAAATTAATATAATTATGTATCTAGTTATTATTACTTACACGTTTTATCGATTTGGTCCTAAATAAACTAAATATGTAATTGCAATTTTGTTAACTGTCATATTAGTTCATCCATTGAATATTAACAGGTGATTTGATTGACATCATTTAAATAATTAAATGACTTGATTGACAAGTTTAAAATATCAATAATCAGATTAAAATCCGTTCATAATTAAATGGTAATGGGTGTAGTTTACCCGGTGTTAAATAATTTATACAATCCAATCCAAAAACCCTAAACTGTTTGAAAAGAAAAGTATACTATGCAACATGCATGAGGAAATCACTGACTCTGACATGTTGGACAAAACCTTTTCTGACCGTCACCACTCATGGCCCCACTTCAACAAGTTGGAGGGGATGCAAAGTACGTCAACGGTTGAATTTCTTCCACGTGGCGTAATCACAGAGGATGTCATGCTGCAAGAATGACAGGGAAGCACGTGCGAAGGCTGAGTAGGCACAGCGTGGGGAATTGATCATGGGTGTTCGCGGTCTGTTTAGATCGATTTTGGGCTAAAAATTCATTTGATCTGAAAATATAAATATTTGCGATTTGAATCGGTTTGAATGTTTCTAAAAAAATTCGATCCTATCCAATTTAATGCGGTTTGATTCGGTTTAGATTTGTGTGATTTTTTAATTCTAATTTTTCAAAATAATTCAAAGCAACAACACTGCCTAAGGGGTCAAACAATTTCACTATTTCACATCCTAAGCTATCTTATATCGAATAAACATAGTTGATGAACATAAATTAGCTAGATTGTAATGGTCAGAATCGGACTTCCATTTTCAAAATGTTGCAATCATATATTACTTTGTGTTTTACGCCAAGAATAATAGGAGAAAACATCGAGATATAAAAATGATCAGACCATAAAGCTATTGAAAAAACGACACTTATTGTAATAGATATTGGTTCGGTTCGGTTTTGGAAATCGAACTAATCGATTTTTTTATAAAATAATCAAACATACTAAATTAATTTCAATTTTTTCGATTATCGATTTTTTGGATCGAATTTCAGTCTTTTTTTAGATCATTGGTTCTGAACACCCTTAATTCTAATACACCCATTCGATTATGGCGACCGCCTCATATTTATTTCTCCAAATTGTGCCGTCGTCAAATCCTTGATTTAATCTATTTAATTAATAAGATCATTTTAAAACTTTATATTTAATTTTCTAATGGAGTGACAAAATACACCGTTAAGAAAAATAATTATAGATTTTAAATAGAAATTACAGAAAAATATGAAAAATATATATTTTATAGTTTCATAAAGAGTTATGTATAAAAAATTCGAAAGAACAATGTATATTGAGAGAACGAAACGAAAACAACTTAATTTTGTAAATAATGAAGATAAAGAGATATATATTACACAATCATATTAATAAATTAATCTTTAAATTTAATAATACAATCATATGTATATTGTATAAGTAAAATTATGAATCAATAATTTAAATAATTATTTTATGATTTATTATCCTATGATACAACATCTAACATATATGATTTTTTGTTGTTGTAAACTTTAAGCTATACTTCATCAACTGGAAATATATTTTTTTTGTATAATTTTCTTTTAAAAATAAACATTAAAAGTTTAATTAAGCCTTCAGTTATTAGAACATGAACAAGGAATATGCTCCATTTGGTTTAGGATAAATGTTAAAAACACATACTTTCCTTAACTCATCTTCTTATCAGCTTCTCACAATTAAAATTAACGAATAAACAATACGATTTAAATTAATTTAACAATTCTTTAAACTCTAATTTTTTTATTAATCCGAAGTGATTATAAAAAAATAATATTATCAAACGTGTTGCAGGATCTAAAATTCCTCGACCTTTAAAATCTAATTATTATTGTATAAAACCATTTCCATCACGTAATCTCATCATACTTTTTTAATGTTTAATTTATCAAAACCTGAAACTCGTACATACTTTTGTTGAGTTTGCCTGAGACTTCTATCTCTACCTTGTTCATATTTCAATGACATGAAATGGCTTTTAACATTAAACATGTATAATATATATATTTGCTGATAATGTATAAAATTATATCTTAATAGAATTAAAAGAAATAAATTTATCAAACTTATACTTTCATGTTGGCTATTAGGGTTCGTATGAGAACTAACAATACCTGACCGTTAATTAGGGTTCATGTATATGGCTATGGACTACCACATAATAATTTATATAATATCTCGCCATGGGGAAACATGCACAGATGAATTGCTGCCCAAATCAAGCAATCTAAAGGCTATTCAAGACAAAGACCCTATCCCCCATTATAAAGGCTGATATTTTGCATATTAATGTGGGATGTTAGCTGTTGAAAGAACATGGAAAACTCCAATATCAACAACTGTTTTAAGTGTTTGATGCAGCTTTTGGTTTGCACGTTTAGTCTTTTCCTTCATATTCATACATACATAAAATGCATACATACATACATATAATAGAATCAAGCACAGGGAAGGCAAGCAAGAGATAAGAAAGAAGTAAGGAACATAAGTGATTCTAAAACAGGAATGCTTCTGTTTGCCCACCTGAACGCATGATTCCCTTATCAGTACTTGATTGATTTGTCAAATTCCCCGTAGCTAAATATTCTGATAAGTGTTTATTAGAATTCATTTAACGACCTCGAGTGTTGTTACTCTTAGAGGTTCCAAATTCGAATTGTTTAGAGTGTGTGCTCATTGTCAATTGACTAAAAAAAATTCTTATTATTGTACCAAATAATAATAAGGGTTGATAATTAGTAATTACCGTTAATTACTACAGATAGGACTCACACTGCAACGACTACTGTTTTGATCATAGTAAAAGAAATAAACTCATTAAAATGTAGGGTAATATCCATTAATGAAGATGAAATGCAAAAGGGAAAGGTCTTTAAGACAAAACGATCTAATAATTGCAGATTAAAGTACTTAAGATGACTGATTATTAAGAAAATAAAACATTGGAGAAACCCTTTTGCCATGCAGAATTGCAGATAGATGATAACGTCTTTTCATTTTTTTCATTTTTATGATTTTGCTTACTGGTTTTGGTTTCCGTTGGGAGCTGGCGGAAGAGATGGTTGTGGAGGAGGAGGAGCTTGAGATGGTCGCTTTCGTTTCTTCTTCTCATAGCTTATGCCTCTTGCTTTAGCCTGTGAATCACGAACCTCACGTAGGTAAAGCCTAATAGCTCTGGCACCGAAAGGGTTAGCTTCGGGTTTGCCACCGTGTTCTTCGAAGGCGGCACGGAGGCGTCCGATGAGGGCATCGAGGCTTCCCCAAGCTTGCCGGAGAGGACAAGGGCATGGAGCCGGAGGGTTAGGGTGACCGAAGAAAGGACAAAGCTGGGTGTGCACTTTGGTTTTCCCGAACTGGTCAAGGTACCGGAGGAACTCCAGGACGTGGGCGCCGCTGCAGCGGGAGAGTGAGAGCGGCGGACGGTGGTTCCGGAGGTACTGCCCGAAAGTGTTCCAGTCACGGCGCTTTTGGTTCTCGTAGCGACTGAGAGTCGAAGGAGAAGCTGAAGAAGAAGAAGGAGGAGAAGAGGCCGCGGCCGGTAAAGGGTTTGCGTTGGTGTTGGTGGTGATAGTGATAGTGGTGTTCACGGTGGTGCTTGCGGTTGCGATGGAGAGGTCTGCGGGGAAACATGGGGTTAAAATGGTGGCGGAAGAAGGGTTTGAATTCAAGGTTTCGAAACCCTGAAGAGAATCCATATAAGAAAAAATTATCGAGATCAATCGATGGATGATTAAAAATAGGTAAGATTTTACATAGCAAAGGGAGCCTCGATAATGGCAGGAGAAAGAAGAGGATGATGAGAAGGGTATGTAAAGGGAGTTTTTTTTTTTAAAGAACAATAATTATTTATGAGAGATAAAATATATAGGGAATTTAGAGGAGAAAAGAATAGTGTAGTGAAAGGTAGGGTATATTGAGAGTCCTCATTGCTTTTCTTTGAGGTTTCTTTCAACCTTTTGTTTGATCAATCCCAGATAACTTGAAAGCTTCTCATCGTGTCTAATGGTGTGGGTGTGGCATACACACACATATATGTAAATATAAAACAAAATATGATATTTTTATAATTAAGTGTAATTATTTATAATCAATAATTATAAATAAATGATATATTTAAATAATTATTACAATTAATAAAAATTATCAAATTAAATGTAATCAAACGACCTCAATGATTAAGAATCATTGTTATTTTTAGAGTTTCGGAATCGAGCAACACGTATGCAAGGTGATGAGCAACACGTATCCAAGATTAATAAAAAAAACATCTTAATTAAACTCTTCAATTCTTTTTGAATAGTATAGGGTGATTATAAATTAAGATATATTCATAATCTTTCTTAACCAATTATAATACACACCAGATGTAATTGCTTGAACCCATTACCTTAAGGGGGAATAACAATCCCTTTAATCTATGAGGTTACTCATTGATACAAATACGAGTGAAGTTAATTATAAGACTAATTATTCGATACACAAACTATGTAGAATTAAGATTCCATAATTATGTTTATTTGAATACCACATGACATATTTGAATGACATTTAACACTATTCCTCAAATTTTATACCCTAAATTTTAAATCTAAACCTTAATTTTAAACTTAAAATCCTAAACTCTAGATAGAACATGTGATATCAATACTACCCTAGTCATGAAAAATCATTGATAATGCACATACACCTTATAGATGTAGTTTTTTAAATTTAAGTCCTCTAAAGATAGGTATATTGCTTTTTACTACCGACACTCATTGAATTTAATAATTAATATAATTAAATTCAAATGAAAATAATTAATTTAAAAAATATATTTTTAAATGGAACTATGTTTTTTTATGAGTATTTTGTCCCAGGAAGTAAACTATGACTTGAGTGAGAGAGATTGGGAATGGTAAGAGGAAATAAGAACGGGGCTTTATATGGAAATGGAGAGAGGTTTTCAACAGTTTAGGAAAGAGACGAAGGAGACATGATAAGGCCATTTAGGGTGGAATAACATGATTTTGTTTCTTCACCCTTTCCCCCACCCCTTTGATTGACATCACCTTTTCTCAATTTACTACTTTACCCTTTTTACTTTTACAATAATTAAGGACAAATACATAATTTAATATATATATATATATATATTATGTTTATTAGTTATCTAAATTTGATGTTAAGAACACGAATTAAGTGATTCAATATTTGATTATTGTTATTCTTAAAAAGTTTAGATTTAACATGATATCTATAGATATATTTAAATATTTATTGTCAAATAATTAAAACGTAAAAATATTTAAAATAAATATTATATTTCTATTAACGTGAATTTACGAAAGCAAAAATTTGAAGCAGAGGCGTAGCTTGCATTACCCGGAAGCATGAGTCAATTAAACAAACAGTATATTCGCAAACAGTTCATGTGAGCAACAGTTTCAAACCCTATTTATTGGCCTTCCATACCCAACCAATTTAGGAAAACTTTCAATTCGTCAAATAAATCTATCTTTCATGCTCCCCTAACCCCATTACATATGATAATAGGGTTTTGTTGTTGTTGTATCTTTTATGGACACCCCTTGTTTTATTTAAGTCGGATTAGATTGTGATTTTAAAAGATCTTTTTTATCTTTCATATATAATGATATTTAACTTGACGCGCTTATATATCAACGACAGTCGAGTTAGCATATCCACATGCCATTTTTATTAATATTATTTAATAACACAATAATATATATTATCTAATTGGTAAGAAAGTAGAAAAAAATATAATATTTAAACTAAGATTTTATTGTAGTAGTTAGTAAACGTCAATGTTTGAACTCACACACAATATAAAATAATAAGAGTATATTTGACCATTTGATCAATTAATGAATATTTCTTTTCTCTCGTTTTGACAGAAATAGTAGTCTTGTTGCTTATTACTCTTCTTAAATTTAATTTATTTATTTGAAAAATAAATTATTAAAAGCTTCAACCTTTGTGTAATACAAAATGAGAAAACAGATTTTATATTAAAATATTTTAATAAAATGTGATTTGGTCCTCAAATAATCTTGAATTACATTAATCAAATAATTAAAAATTACATTTCAGCCATATTGATGAACTATAATAATAGAAAATTCCAATAAATTATTAAGTAATCTTATATTTTTTTGATAATTTTATTACTAAAAATAATTTTATATTCTGTAAATCGAATGATACAATTTGAAAGAGAAATGAAAAATTCAATTCTTAGCGTTGCAGAGATTTTGGCCTATTGTCCAAGTAACGAAGGGATGCTTGCAATCCAAACTAAATTTTGGAGAAACCATTCAAATTAATTAATTAAATCACTATACTATATAAATTTTCAAACCCAGAATTTAATTGTAATTAAGATATATACATTTTTAACAGATTATATATAGTAGAACTTTAGATTTTGAATCAAACAGTTAAAGATACTCGTATAGTTAAAAGCGAGACTAGGGGCTGGCTGCAGAATTGACACCTCAGTTCTGGTAAAATTATTACTCCAATCCTCTAAAAATTTAAGATTTTGGCAAAAAATTATTTTTACACATCTTAAAAAGACTCATTCCAAAACAGGGGCGGACTCAGAACAAAACTTTAGGGGTTGCACAAAAAAAATTTCCATGAGAACTTAACTGAAATATGAAACCAGATTGTGTTTAGAGAACTAGGGGTTGCCCCTTTGTCAGGACAAAACCTTAGGAGAAGCAAAATTAACATTATTCTGAGAAATTTGAGGGGTTGCCCGGGTTATCCCGGGCTACTCATAGGTCCGCCCCTATTCCAAAAATCATAAATATTGTTAGTTAATAAAATAGGGAAACTATTTTATGAATCTCATAAAAATTATGTTTTCATTTCAGCCTTAATGATTATTTATTAATTAATGCTGAAAGCAGAATGTCAAATACAATAAATTCAATACCAGAACGCGGACAAAATAACACTTATGATAATTCGTATTTTGACCAAAAAGAGAAATAAACGGATTGCAAAAATTATATAGGCATCTTTCCTAGTCTAGAAAACAAAAATTCATATTCCAAAGAAACAAAAAGAATATCTTTTCTTAAATGTACATGCTTTGTTGAAATGATATTTAATTAAGGCAAGGGGATTAGATTAGCTTGGAATTCACTAGTAAATTTGGAGGATCAAAATCCATATCCAAAGCAAAGCCTACCCGAATTTGTCTCCCCACTTTGCTTTTTCACTTAATTACCAAAAAGCAAAGTGGAAAATTAACATAATGTATCTCTCAATCTTCCTTTATCCACCATTAGGAGCTCTTTTTGAGATTTTATGTTCCTAAAATGACTTGACACCCAATCAAAATCTTAATTATTCTAATTACATTGCCGTTAATCAGATTTTATGAGGAAACTCACTGCTTGTCATTCAAATCTAATAATACATCTCAGTGCATCATACAAACAAAACAAAACCAAACTCGAAGAGAAAATCATAAAGCATTCATTTTGTTTGTTATTACAACATTTGAGTTTCAATTTAGAAAATCTTTCATTGGATCGTCGTGGTGTACCCTTTTCATTCGATACGCCTCCATTTCCTCGGCAGTAACATCATCATTCCACTTGACGTTATACTTCCGTTTTCTTTCATCTTTCTCCTCTCTCCTCCTCTCATCCTCCTGTAAACATAAAAACATGCATAGATATAAGCACACGTCCGATTTGCGGTACAGAACAGGATACAAGTCATCTTATACACCATGTTTACCTTCTTCAGAGCCTCGGTGAGACGCTTCTCATCGAGAACAAGATCCTCGGGTACATCAGTACCCCAAGTAACATGTTTCTTTTCCTCTGCGGGAGGAGGAGCATCTGTGCAGAATAGAGATGCAGGGATTAAAAACATGTAAGCACTAAACTCGAACAAAATCATGGAACTAGAAAGAGCAAATGATTCTCTGAAGTTCTCAGAGAAATAAAATATGAACTTAAAGACCATAACTTAGAAGAATGCATCTCGACTTAAAGAACTAATTTGAAGTATCTATGTAAGATCTCACCTTCAGACACTTTACGCGCAATATTTGCCTTCATCAAGTCTGTTGATGCTTCTGCAGCCTCAATTCCGGCTGCACCAGTACAGTAACTATTGCGTATTGTCTGTCTACAGCACTTGTAACCCCACTGGTGATCCTTCCACCATGAACCCCAAACAGTGGTGTGGTTATTAATGAAGACATCCTCTTCATACTTGCTTTTCGGAAGGGATGTTTCCTGCCGAAGAAAGCTCGCAAACAAAATTAACCAACTTAAATAATGAAAATGAAGGGAAAAAAAGAGAGCAAGATGGCATGTGTTCCCAATATTTTCCAGAAGTCTCCCTTTTAAAAGTCAATAGTATGGTTTACATATATTGGCATGCATCCTAGTTTTACCAAAACCATGATTCATGATTCATGATTCATGATGAAATCACCCCACCTTTAGCAAAGGAAAGATGGAAAAAGTATAGCAGCAAATTTGAATTGACTGGAATTAAGTATAAAAACCCTTAAAATGATGTGACGGAAGAGGTAAATCACAAATTAACTAGAATAAAAAGAAACTTAGTTTCATTCGTACCATTCCCTTTATAATCCTTCCAGCACGATCATACTCCACTTGCCTCTCACTTTGTCCCAATAGAAGCTCCATTGGGATCTCTTCTTCAGTTGCTGCATTGCCATACTTCTCCATAATCGTATCCTTGGTCTTTGATTTTAACTTCTCTTTAATGACCTTATAATTCCTGAAGAGAAGTTCAGCTTGGGATGGAGCAGCCTGCATATGCATATCTTGGCCTTTATCAAATGCTTCCCATGCATGGATATTGAGCTGCTTGAACTCTAATGCTTGGCCACTCTGTCTATATTGATTATCACCCTGCAAGGAAACACATAAGCAAGTAAGAATTGCATAATTGATTGACTTTATGACGTAAAAATATGAAAAAAAATCTAAGGGGAAAAATTCTGCACAGCACTCACTCCATAGAACTTCTCATTTGGATCCGCATCAGGAAGCGGATCCTCACGCATAGATCGCGTCTTGGGATCATAGTACGCGGAATTCACGTCAAGATTCAAAAGATACTTTGCTGTGTCTTCCCGAATACGCAAATTCCTAAAAGAGAGGCAAATATGAAGTGAGAATACTTGTTTTATATTTGCACAGAAGAAACAATGATATTTAAAACCAAAATAAGAAAATAATGCATAAAAAAGGATACAACAATGAGTTATAATAGATGTACCTGACAGTTCCCGTGCTCCCTCCACCAGTGGTACGAACACGCTTCTCAACCTTAGCAAAGTCCATTTGTTTGCTCTCGTCAACCTTAGCTTCATCAACTTTTAGAGCATCATCATCATCTTCTTCTTCTTCTTCCTCTTCACTAACATCCTCACCCTCTCCATCATTTTTACTATTTTTTTCCTCCAACTTTTTCAGTTGCTGTTCCTTCAAATACTTCCTTCTAGCATCATCCCTCGCCTCATACCTTTCAATTACACGAGCATATGTAGATGCATCATAACCATTCCACCTATCTCTCTTCCCATCATAATCCAGTTCAAACGTCTCTATCTTTTCATCAGGTGCAATGTGCATGCTCGTCCATTTTGCTCCCTTTTTACGGGGCCTCTCCATGCATGACTTTGCATCATGTGTCATGGCTCCACAGCTACAACAAACAATAAAAGGAATTCAAAAAATTGTGAACTTCGTCATAACTATAGATTTTGAAGCATAAAGGACACAAACAAGTAATTTCATCAAAACTAAAACTATTTAATCCCACACAACAAGTTTAGAGGGCATAAGCTACAGAATTCAGATCAATGTTTTTGAATTTACCAATTGATAAAACTTCCTCCACGATGCATGGATAAATTTCAAGCCTTTCTTTTTAAAAGAAAACATGAATTTCAATAGCTAACACAACCCAGATACTGTCTGATAAGGCAGTAAAAATTCCCATCACTGGAGTCTTGCCCTATATCATTACCCACAAAAATGTCTAACCGAGTTCTATCTCAACTTGTCAAGAAACTTGATCATTACTAAATAGAGTCAACTTACACACGAGAAATTCCATATATTAGGACAACAGAACATCTCTTACATCGCTTCCAAATCAATAGTTAGAAACGTAACAGGTATGTGGCCCTATTCTTGTATATTAAACATGAAAGTTCAAAGAAAGAATAAAACGCACTGCGAGCACTAAATCATATTTCCTACATTTGAACCTACAACTTTAGGTTCAATTAGCAAAGAATCCATCTCTATCAATTATAATTATAATTAATTTTTCTATCCCATATTATTAAAATTGATTAGATTCAAAGATAAAATTTCCATGTATAATTCGACCTGAAATCTTAATGTTCTCCATTAACACACAAAACAAGGCGTACCTAGAAACGAAGATAAGTATCGAATAACACAATAGAAGAAGGAAAAGAAGGTTTACTTACTTTTCGCATGCTCCTTTTCTATATTTTTCAGCCTGAAATATCTTCGCACCCCTATCGTACCAAGATTTGGTGTAATTAGGATCCGATTTCCACTTCCTTTGATGCTTTAAACTTGGTCTTTCAGCGTTAAGATACCAAGGCGCCGATGACATATACTGAGGAATATGGGGGTTAATCTCTTTTCCATCCTCATCGACCTCAGCCGGCGCAAGCCCCGCTTTTCGAGCTTCCTCTAATTCAAGCTGTTTGCGGTGATCCTCCCTTGATTTAAACGCCACTGAAATCTCCCCATCAAACAATTATTAGATAAAATTTGAAAAGAATCCCTCTTTTGGTATCGAAACAAACGAAACAGATAAATCGGATGAGAAGGAATAAAGAACGTACCTGATGCTGTAGCCATGGACGAATCAAGAGAATTTTAGCAGAAATTAGGGTTTCGAAGATGAAAATTTCACCGATTTTAACAGGTAGGTTGATAGATTACTGTTCTCCTCTGGATAGTTATCTGTATATATATCGCCATCTGCCAAATAACCCGACATCTAGACCTATTGCTTGATGATTGAGCTTGATGATTGAGCTTGACCCATATTGTCAATGGTTTTATTGGGTCCGGTCCAACCTACCCAAAGTCTTATCCTATTCAGAAAATGGGCCTGTTTTTCATAATCTTTTATTATTTAATCTCAAAATTAAATTAATTTTATTATTACGTGTTTGAACACTGCAGCGTAATTGTACGAAAACATACTTACCATCATAATATGTAATTGTTAAAAATTATAATTAAGGAAATGTTTGAATATTACAACATGATCAAATGAAAATGTAATTGTTATCTTAATAATCATATTATGGTATAATTAATATAAATTTTAATTAACTAGACATGTTTACCGATCAGTATGTATTTATATGTTTTTAAATTAAAAGGAGAATTTTGGAAAACTAGACTAGGTGCCACAAACTTTATAATAAGAACTCTCGATATTTCTGCGAAGTAGTTTTTGAGGGTAAATTGGTGTAAAATCATAGTGAAACAGCTCAAATCGTAAGGAACATGTTTGGCTAGAGGCCTAGAGCATCCCTAGGACAATTGACCTTTCGTGGGATCCAGGTGGAGTCAAGTACCCGTCCTCGCACCACCTTATTGGATAGAAAAATTATTTAATTAAATATTTTAAAATTCATAAATAAAATATTCCAATCATATATTGAAATGTATCACATTTTAATTGAATAATTAAATTTATTTAATTGAATTAAAATAGTGACCAAATTGATAGAATGTGTAAATATTAATGACAAAATATATAATTATGTCAATTAAGCTTAACGGACGCGTCACCACCTCTGTTAAAAATTAACGGCCGGTGGTTTGATTGAATTAATTAAATTGTTGGGTGGTCTGATTGATTCAATTGAAAGTTCGGTTGTCACATTAATTTTTTATCATAGTTTAGTGGTCTCCCGTGTAGTTTACCCATAAAATTATCAAGATTAAAAAAATATAAAACCCTAAAATGTAGTAAAAATAATAATAAATCTTAAGTTGATAATGTAAGTAAAGAATAATTAAATAAATTTTATATAATAACTTATATGATATATTATATATATATAATTAATATAATAAGAACAAATAAGAGTACATACATAAATTTATTATTATTTATTATAAAACCTTAACAATAATAATAACAAAATCCTAACGTGTGTAGAACTGCAACTCCTAATGATGTAATTATCTATGAAATAAATTAAATAATGTAATTGAATATTTTTAATTGTACACAATTTAAAGAAATTAAAGTTACTATGATCGTTTAAATATGTCATAATCGTATGATTACACATAGTTTTAATTGTATAGTGCCTTTCTAAACGCACCCTAAATAATCATATTTGATAAATAGAATAATTACATATTAATATCCACATTATATTTTATTGTAAAAGTTATACTTTATAAATAATTTAACTTTTAACTTTTATTGCACATATTAGTTTTATACACACACGCACACCTAATTTTAAACTTTCAAAAAATATCTAGCAGAGTAATTGACATTTGTGGCTATGATTTGATTTAATTTGGCTGATACGATCAGTTTAAAGCCACAATTTTTTTAGTTTAATTTTTTTAAAAGATGTTTATTTATTTTATATTTAAAATCATATGTCTGAGTTACCCGACCTTCCAACGGCAATAAGCATGAAGCATGATGCATGATGCTGCCCACTTTCTCGCATGCATCCCAACGTCATTTATTCACTCTCTCACCTTCAAACGACGACGTCCTGCATGCAGTTTTGCAAAACTCAAACCCCTATTTTGTACATCTAATTGTGATTTAGTGCCCACCTTATGTTAAAATTTGAACTCTGTCCTTATATGTCAATTTATCATAATCTAGTCTTTCTACTTTGACAGTGTTATTCTTAGGTTTGAATCTATAACATCAATAATTACTATTATTTAAGTGATTGCATTTAATAATCCATTAAGCGACCTCAATTGTAAAAATAAAGTATTAATCTTTATAGATATCATGAGTTTGAGCAGTTATACTACGTTAACATCATCAAATATGATGATGTGATATATAACGGGATTGTCTCAGGAAAGGCGAGTTAATATACGGCGTTACCGGATACATTAAAAGATATTTAACAAATTCGGTTTAGCGCTACCGGAAATGTTGACTAATAATAATGTAAGTAGGTCTAAGTCATGAAGAAATATTAAAAATTTGTGCAACCGACAAACTTAACTTGTCGGTTTGTGTCGATCCAAATTAAAAATGTGTCGATCCAAAACGATATAACAGGTAAAACTATGACAAAACCGGTATTGAAATGATAAAACCGGTAAAGCGCTACCGGATACATTTAAAGTGTCGGTACTTTAATATAAGGATCGACACTTCGTGAATTTAAAAGAGAAGCAGTTTTAAATCCTATAAAGTGTCGATACTTTTAAAAAATGTATCGATCCAAAACGATATACCAGGTAAAAATATGATAAAACCGGTAACAAAATGATAAAACCGGTAAAACGTTACCGGATATATTGAAAGTGTCGATACTTTATATAAGGATCGACACTTTGTGAATTTAAAAGAAAAGCAGTTTTAGCGCCTATAATGTGTCGATACTTTAAAAAAAATATCGATCCACAACGATATAACATGTAAAAATATGATAAAACCGATATCAAAATGATAAAACCGGTAAAATGATACCGGATATATTGAAAGTGTCGATACTTTTGTAAGTACGTGTAATAAATTATCGACACTTTCAAAGAAATAGGTAATTATCCTTTCGAAAGTATCGACACCTGACATAAAAGTATCGACACTTTTGTATTTGTATCGATTAAATATAAATAACATATCCGATGAAAATATAAAGGTCATAACTAAATATCCTCTGAAAATAGATAGAACGGACGAGTTTTTGAAATCGAAGCGTAATTGTTGTTGCATTTCAGAAGGCGTTTCTAAAGCGAAGTTTGTTTGTTTGTTGCTGCAGTCGAATCGAAAAGTATGTTATCGAAACCCTAATTTTTTATTATTACAATAATCGCGATAGGGTTTTTATGTGTTGTTTGGGGTTTTGGAGTAAAGATGCATTTGGGACCGATTGTAGGTAGAAAGTGGCCGAGACTCGAAAGCAACCAAATGGTGGATATATGTACTTCTAGTAAGTATCAATGTCTTTTTGTTATTATTGTTGAAATGATAATTGGATTAAAGTATCGATAAACTTTAAATTGATTACAAATTTTAAATGTTGACAGTATGGCCGAATGCAAAAGGATGAAGGAAGATGACACACAGAGCGGTTCGGTATGTAAAATGAAATTGACATTGAGTAGTATTTAGTGTTAATGTATTGATTAAGAAACGTTTATGTTTAATATTAGGTGACAAAAGATGTGAGGTCCAAATGGAATTCAATGAGTGATGCTGAAAATGAACCTTACAAAACACAGTCAAGGAATGATAGTAAAGAATACAAAGAACGGAGGAAAGCACATGAAAATAAGGTATTCATTAAACTTGTAAATACGTTGATACAAAATATATAAGAACTATAACATTATATATTGTTAAAAAATGTAGGAATTGTCGACAAGATGCAACATTAAAAGGGTGAATTCATTAATTAAACACCTTAAGGAGAATGGTCAGTTGAATGTGCTGGGAGAAATAGGTTTTGGATCGTTGGTAGGAGTAAGGGATCGACCTATTCGGAGGGAATTGTGTCGATCCTTGATGGCGCAATTTGATGTCAGACAATGTATTGCTAAGTATGGTGATTTTTCATTTTCTCTCGGGATCCCATGTGCTGCAGTCGTATTGGGGGTAGAAAATGAAGGCAAAAGTGTTGTAGAAGTCTGTAAGAGTAAGGACTAGAAAGCACTTGCCTCCAAATATGGTTTGAAGCAGAAGGTGACATATGCTGAAATTGAAGAGGAAATAAAAAGTAGATTTTTCGTTGGGGATGAGCTGAAGGCCATAGTTCTATTATACCTTGTCGGTATCTTTCTTTGTCCAATGGGTAATACATCAACGAACAAGGAACATATGAAGCTCATTTGCGATAAGGGTGAATTCAATTGGGCTGAATATATCCATTCGAGATTGATTGAATTAATAATCACCTTTAAAAAGGGCAGCCAGAGATACCTCAAATGGTGCATAGCAATCTTAAAGGTAAATGAGTTGAAGAACTTTTTTGTGTTTTTATATAAAAATATAAATTTTATTATAAATGCAGGTTACACTGTTCGATTTTTGGTCGGGCTGTGAGGCAGTGCCGGCTTATGAAAGAACCGAAGTGGCACGCATCCGTGCATGGGGGAAGGAAGAGGTGGTTAGAGTGATGATGAAGTTGAAGTTGGATAGAGCGAAGAAGCAAGAAAGGGTAATAAATGTAATTAAATAATATTAAGAATATAATCAATGTCTTAATATTGTAATTTAATTTTGAAGGTTATTGGCAAGTATGTAGAGGAGGCAGAGGAGAAGAAAGGAGAGATGGTTGTATTGGGGGATGACGGTGAGTGGGACGACGGTGAGGGAAAACATAGTAACTTCGACATTTTGATGTCTGAATTGGCTGATATCAAAAAAATCCAATTTGATATCATGCAAAGACAATCAAGAGTCGAAGAGAAACTTGATAGAGTCGAAGAGAAACTTGAGAGAGTCGAAGATACACTTGAGAGGCATAAGGGGGTAGTGGAAGGAAAAATAGATGGAGTGGTGAAAGAAGTAGAGGTGTTGAGGGGTGAAGTGGTGAAAGAAGTTGGGGTGTTAAGGGGTGATATTAAGATGGTGACGGGTGAAAAATTTGAGGGAGTGGTGAAGGAGGTTGTGGAATTGAGGAGTGAACTTACGGGGGTGAAGGGGGTGGTTGATAAATACTTGAATGAAGGAGATCAATTGAAGGGTGAAATAAAAGAGATGAAGAGCTATGTAGAA